TGGATCATAAGCAGTGCCAAATCAAAAACTTGTTGTGTATTTGAAGGTTTAAAAAGGCTTCTGAAGTTAAATTTCCATTTTGAAATTTCAGACATGATTTTCCCTTATGAAAAATGTATCAACACCTACAAAAATGTCCATTAATTATAATCAACATAATAATTCACATTTCCTGTTGCTGCAGGATTATTTTCCCACTGTAGCAAATTGGCACAAAAACCCCCCACAAAAAAAACATTGATTTCAAAGTTTTAAAAACCATACAACACTATCCACAAGGACTACTTTCAACAATTTCAACTGATAATGTTATAAAAACACACTTATTGGAAGAACTGTGCAGATGCAATGTTTGGTAACATAATATAATTGCCCCTTCACTAAACCCAGCCCCAGAATTTTGGGGAACCATTAGCATCGCTCCAATGGATATCAACTGTCATCTAGTCATTGAGTCCGACACCACCTCGTGTTTGAAACACATCAAAGCCATTGAGGGCTTTACAAAAATGGAGAGTTTTCATCCAAAAACGAATTGTTTAAATGGCTAAATAATTGAACAGTGCAACAGGGGTACTTGCTACTTTGATTCCAGAAATGCAGAGCCTGTTGGAGTATTTTTTAAATCTGAAATTATACTTTTGTTAATTTTTTTTGCTAGCTAGCTCAGCTGACCAACCACATTGCTAAGACCAACTAGCCAGTTAATATACTCTACATTACCAAAAGTATGTGGACACCTGCTCGTCGACCATCTCATTCCAAAATCATGGGCATTAATATGGAGTTGGTACCCCCTTTGCTGCTATAACTGCCTCCACTCTTCTGGGAAGGCTTTCCACTAGATGTTGGAACAATGCTGCGGGAACTTGCTTCCATTCAGAAATGAGCATTCGTGAGGTCGGGTACTGATGTTGGCCTGGCTTGCAGTCGGGTTCCAATTCATCCCAAATGTGTTCGATGGGGTTGAGGTCAGGGCTCTGTGCAGGCCAGTCAAGTTCTTCCACACCGATCTCAACAAACCATTTCTGTATGGACCTCCCTTTGTGCATGGAGGCATTGTCATGCTGAAACAGGAAAGGGACTTCCCCAAACTGTTTCCACAAAGCTGGAAGCACAGAATCGTCTAGAATGTCATTGTATGCTGTAGGGTTAATATTTCCTTTCCCTTCACTGGAACAAAGGGGCCTAGCCCGAACCATGAAAAACAGCCCCTCCACCAAACTTTACAGTTTGCACTATGCATTGGGGCAGATGGCGTTCTCCTGGCATCTGTCAAACCCAGATTCGTCTGTCGGACTATCAGATGGTGAAACGTGATTCATCACTGCTCCAGAGTCCAATGGAGGCGAGCTTTACACCACTCCAGCCGACGCTTGGCATTGTGCATGGTGATCTTAGGCTTGTGTGTGGCTGCTCAGCCATGGAAACCCATTTCATGAAGCTCCCGACGAACAGTTCTTGTGCTGACATTATTTACAGAGGCAGTTTGTAACTTGGTAGTAAGTGTTGCAACCGAGGACAGACGATTTTTAAGTGCTATGCGCTTCAGCACTCGCCGGTCCCATTCTGTGAGCTTGTGTGGCCTAACACTTTGCGTTTCCACTTCACAATAACAGCACTTACAGTTGACCGGGGCAGCTCTAGCAGGGCAGAAATTTGACGAACTGACTTGTTGGAAAGGTGGCATCTTATGACGGTGCCACGTTGAAAGTCACTGAGCTATTCAGTAAGGCATGTTGTCCCACTGCTCTTCAATGGCTGTGCGAAGTTGCTGGATATTGGTGGGAACTGGAACACACTGTCGTACACGTCGATCCAGAGCATCCAAACATGCTCAATGGGTGACATGTCTGGTGAGTATGCAGGCCATGGAAGAACTGGGACATTTTCAGCTTCCAGGAATTGTGTACAGATCCTTGCGACATGGGGCCATGCATTATCATGCTGAAACATGAGGTGATGGCGGCAGATAAACGGCACGACAATGGGCCTCAGGACCTCTTCACAGTATCTCTGTGCATTCAAATTGCCATCGATAAAATTTACATTTACATTTTAGTAATTTAGCAGACACTCTTATCCAGAGCGACTTACAGTTAGTGAGTGCATACATAATTTTTTTATTTTTCATACTGCCCCCCCGTGGGAATCGAACCCACAACCCTGGCGTTGCAAACGCCATGCTCTACCAACTGAGCTACATCCCTGCCGCCATTCCCTCCCCTACCCTGGATGACGCTGGGCCAATTGTGCGCCGCCCCATGGGTCTCCCGGTCGCGGCCGGCTACGACACAACTGATTTGCTGAAATGCATTAAGAGGGAAAGAAATTCCACAAATTAACTTTTAACAAGGCACACCTATTAATTGAAATGCATTCCAGGTGACTACCTCATTGAGAGAATGCCAAGAGTGTGCAAGGCAAAGGGTGGCTACTTTGAAGAATCTCAAATATAAAATATATTTTGATTTGTTTAACACTTTTTTGGTTACTACATGATTCCATGTGTTAGTTCCTATTCTTCACTATTATTCTACAATGTATAAAATAGTAAAAAATAAATAAATAAAAAACTGGAATGAGTAGGTGTGTCCAAACTTTTGACTGGTACTGTATAATGATAAGATAGACAGTATAATGATATATAATGATAAGATGGACAGTATAATGATAAGATACAGTATAATGATAAGTACAATAGGCAGTATACAGTATGTGACTGATGTAATGGTGTTCGTTGTCCGTAGCTTATGCCCGCCCATACCACAACCCCAGCGCCCCCATGGGGCACTCTGTTCACAACATTGACATCAGCAAACCCCTCGCCCACACAACGCCATACATGTGGTCTGTGGTTGCGAGGCCGGTTCTGCCAAATTCTCTAAAACGTCAAATTCTCTGTTTACAGCTCTGATGGACATTCCTGCAATCAGCATGCCAATTGCATGCTCCCTCCAAACTTGAGACATCAGTGGCATTGCGTTGTGTGACAAAACTGCACATTTTAGAGTGGCCTTTTATTGTCCCCAGCACAAGGTGCACCTGTGTAATAATGATCATGCTGTTTAATTAGTGATAAGTTGCGTCAATTCAAATCTGGTATTGGAACAAAAAGAGGTCAATACACGTCTTCTAAAATAGACTAGTATTTTAATTAATGCAAAACGCTTCAATGGTAAATATGATGTTCGTATGTACAGGTCCACTGAAATACCACGCAGGGCACTCAGAGAACTGGTCCATTGTTATAAGTTCTTCTTTAAATACTCTGACAGAGATAGTTCCCGCTCCCTGCTGGCCTATCAGAGTAGAGACTGAGCGTGGTTTAGACTTACTCAGCCTATCCTTGGCGCACAGGCTGGTCCCAGTCCCTTGGCGCTTCACTGTTGCCAGGTGTTGGTTGTTTTGCAACTTGTCCAGAGTCAGCACTTTTGCAGTACACATGTCCTTGAGCGGTCTAACAAAGAGGCAGTGTGTGTATGTGAGACACAAGTCTGTCTCGGCCTACCCCCTAATAGTTCCTCACATTAATCACAGCTTGTTATGTTGACCAATCTATATCAGTACAGTACAAACCTATTATGTTTAATCATTAATGCTTTCTTATTAAGCTAACAGCACATCTAAAATATAAGAGAATAATTTCCCACATTAGCTTCTTGATATGCCACACCTGTCAGGTGGATAGATTATATTGGCAAAAGAGAAATGCTCATTAACAGGGATGTAAACAAATGTACGCACAACATTTGAGAGAAATAAGCTTTTTGCGCATATAGAACATTTCTGGGATCTTTTATTTCAGCTCATGAAACATGGTACTAACACTTTACATGTTGTGTTTATATTTTTGTTCAGTGTATGTTAGCTAGCTAAGTTAGCCATGTTATGAAAACAACGCATCTACTGTTGACATCACGATACGATTTGAAAACACTAGTTAGCAAAATGGTTTGTAACTTTGGTTGCATGCTGACAGTGCGTTCATGCTGACAGTGCATTCAGCCATCCAGTGGCTAGCCACACTACAACCTTAATTTTACCAGGTTCCAGTTAAGCAATTGTAATGCCAGTCCACCACAACATACCCGAGTCTCCTGATTAGCAAGGGATTGTCTGTGTTGTTTAATTTAATTGTATATAAAAAACACAGTTTGCGATCATTGTGAGGGAATTTCGCCAGTGGTTAGAAGGGGGAAATGGGTTTCCCCGCAAAATGTGTCCGAGGTTGCAACAAGTAACCAAGGGGGGCGGGGCTTAGCGAAGGGTCTATTACGGTAAAATCTCCCTCTGTTTTTTTTTATGCGACGACGTTTTATAAAAACACTTAAATATCTGCTCCGAATTCAGATTGAAAGATGTCTGCAGAAGAATGGGGTGTTAGCTACAGTATGACATGACACTTTGAGTTTGAAAACATCTCTTTTGATTATTGAACTACAGTAAATGAAGTGGATTTTAACACAGTAAAATAATTATAGCAACGGAATGACATCATTGCCAGTTTGCTACAGCAGGAAAATAATCCTGCAGCAACAGGAAATGTGAATTATTAGGGGGATTATAACTAATGGAAATGTTTGTAGGGTCTGACATTTAAAAGTGGAAAAATTACAAACTTCAGAAGCCTTTTTAAACCTCAAATACACTACAAGTGTTCTGCAACAGGGTGATCATATTAAGATACTAAATCTCTATCTGCTCTCCTGTCTTTATCATTATTTACACTACTTATGATCCACCTCCAGTTTTGTCATTGCCCAAAATATGTGTGCTGTTCGATTATTATTTTTGTATGCACCATTGCTTCCTCCCTCTAATCACTGAGTTATCTGGATAGGTAATAATCAGCTTTCCACTGAATTGATTTAGCCAATTGTGCCGTGCCAGATCAATGGTTACTTCAGTAGCTAGTAACCTTTTATAGATAGATATTTTTTCAGGTTCTGTGCGTTCTGATTTATCCATGCGCTCTGAGATGCATTGCTCTGGCCTCACTAACTGTGCAGGCTTTGCAGTAGAACACGGAGTGATGATGATGCTGCCGTAGACGTGGTAGCTATAACGTATGTGTAGTCTTTCTTTAGCTAGTTATCTTAACGGTTGTTTTTTTTAAACACCAACAAACATGCTGGACTTTGCGATATTTGCAGTGACTTTTGTCATCATTCTGGTCGGCGCAGTTCTCTATTTGTATCCAGTAAGTCAATGCCTATGCTTATATTAGCAACATTGTATATACACCGATGTCATTAAGGCTACTTATAAGCTGCTAACTTTGTGCACAGTTTTATAGTGACATGACAGTTAAAAAGTCCCTGGACATTTTATGCATCTACCTTTAGCACTCAAATGTTTCAGCAGTTTGGGTGAATTATAGAACATATGGCAAAGGTGTGGACTAATATACTTTTTTTAAAAGCTCACGTTTTTAGAGGTTACTGCCATGGACTTAGAATATGTAAAACCCACAGCATTTCTTGTCATGTTTAATTTATGTTATGTCTCTCTTGAAACTGAAAGTAACATGCTTGATTCATTTTTTATCAAGTCATCAAGAAGTGCTTCTGGTATCCCAGGTCTCAACCCTACAGAAGAGAAGTGAGTAGCCTATGACCAGATATGTTTTATGACTTTCTGAGTGCTGTCTCTCTTTAGCACTAAGCTAAGGTCACCACACTTGACCTGAGCCTGTATTTATAAAGCGTCTCTGTAGGAGTACTGATCCAGAATCAGATCCCCCTGTCTATTCATCTTCATATAAAAGGCTAAACTGATCCTAGATCAGCACTCTTACACTGAGAAGCTTTTCTGAATACGAGCCCTGGCCTGACCTTGGTTAATATTGGTTTATTCGTCGCATTCTCTTAATCTAGGGATGGAAATCTACAAGACATAGTGAACCGAGGCAGTCTGCATGAGTTCCTGGCAAGTCTACATGGACAGTTTGGTCCTGTGGCATCCTTCTGGTTTGGAGGACGCCCTGTGGTCAGCTTGGGTTCAGTGGACCAGCTACGGCAGCACATCAACCCCAACAGGACTAGTGAGTACTTGGGAGGGAGGGAAACTATTGGGGCAAAGGGAAACGGGTGCTCTGTTCTTACTAACATACCACTTAAAATTCATGCTTAATTGATTGCACCATTCTAAGTGGAATGCAGGGATAGATAGACATTGTAACAGATTCAAGTGATTTCCGTTATACATTTACAGTGTTGTCTTGAAATTAAGAAACTGTAACATCTTTTCCACTGTGACATCTTCTACCCTTACTTGTAGCGGACTCATTTGAGACAATGCTGAAGTCGTTGCTAGGGTACCAATCAGGAATGGGTGGAGGGGCCACAGAGACAGTAATGAGGAATAAGTTGTATGAGAGTGCCATCAACAACACCCTGGAGAAAAACTTTCCCCTGTTGCTGAAGGTTTGCCTTTTGCACAATGGCTCATTTGGCTGTTTTTTTTTTTTTATATTTGGCTGTAGTATTGTGCAATACTTTCTTATGTTTTTGTGTATCCATTAGTAATTGTTTACTCCAAAAGCTTTTTGTGCTCACTTCCCTGGGATGTTATAGTTCATTGACACACACACACTCTCTCTCTCTCTCTCCCTCCCCTTTTGTCCTGTTCTAGCTGGTGGAGGAGTTAGTGGGGAAGTGGCAATCTTTCCCTAAGGACCAGCACACGCCCCTCTGTGCCCATCTACTAGGATTGGCCATGAAGGCTGTCACTCAACTCGCTCTGGGTGACCGCTTCCGGAATGATGCTGAAGTCATCGGCTTCCGAAAGAACCACGAGGCAGTGAGTGAGCAGTCACCGTTTCTGGTGAAAATATGCCCTTTAAGACCTGTGTTGTTTGCAGGTTTTCACTGATAATTCCCTTTGACTTGTCAGATCTGGTCGGAGATCGGAAAAGGCTATTTGGACGGTTCCATGGAGAAGAGCCCCAGCAGAAAGGAGCACTATGAGAGCGGTGAGTGAGAACTAGTTCACTGCTATGGATAATATGTGTTACCTGTACATCTCGGCATTAAGAAAACGTCCACTTCCTTACTGAATGTGTCTGAAATAAAAAGTCAGAGTATCTCCCTATGTGTATAAATTCTCTGTCCTCATGCTAAGTACATTATGCTTGTTTACAGCGCTGGCAGAAATGGAAACAGTGCTGATGTCTGTGGCTAAAGAGAGGAAAGGACAAAGGAGTCAGACAGCGTTTGTGGACACTCTTCTCCAGTCCAACCTCACAGAGAGACAGGTGATGCACAGATTATTTGATTATAAGGACAACAGACTCATTGAGGCAGAGCATAGAGTGTCCTGTTGCTGTTATTCAAGTGTAGAGGAAAATAAAACTTCCTTCCTACTGTTTTAATGAATGATTGTTTTCATGGTTTCTCTTTTGTAGGTGATGGAGGACAGCATGGTATTCACACTGGCAGGTTGTGTCATCACAGCTAATTGTGAGTACTAGTAATAAATAGATTATACGTAGTTGCCTATCTATGTCATAACTTGCGGCCTCATGGTGTATCCAATCGTCCATTTTTTCTGAGAGAATAAAATCATACATTTGGTTAGTATTTTGTCAGAAAATCTCTCTCTCACAAAGTGTTTATGTTTTTCTTTGTGGTTGTAATATTTTCCCAGTGTGCATCTGGGCAGTACACTTCCTGTCCACATCAGAGGAAGTTCAGGAGAAGCTGCATCAGGAGCTGGAAGATGTTCTGGGCTCTGAGCCTGTATCTCTGGATAAGATCCCACAGCTCAGGTGACCTCTGACTCTGTCTGACAGCCAAGTAACATCAACGATGTGATGCAGTGTAACAGAGGTGTTTCAGATCCACTCTTGCATGATGTGTACCTTATCTGAGACCTGAAGACTGGTGTGCTTCCTGAGCTAATGCCTAAGCTAACAGGGGCTAACAGCCTTGTGGCCCACAAGACACCCGGGTTCGAACCCTGGTCGGTCACAGCAGAAGGGGCAGGTATCCTCATGGTAGCATGTCTTCAAGGTATATTTATAGACCTATATTTGATAGGCATGATAAAATGTATCTTCTATACTATAGGTACTTCCAGCAGGTTTTGAACGAGACTGTGCGGACAGCCAAACTGACGCCCATCGCAGCCCGGCTCCAGGAAAATGAAGGGAAAGTCGATCAGCACATTATTCCTAAAGAGGTATCTTATTCTCCTCTTCCGTACTTAGTCCCTTTATTATCTACATCTCACTGTCACAGTCAGCAAGTGCTTGTGGATTTAAAATTAAACACAATCAACCAACCAAACACATTCCACATTCACAGATGTGAATTAAAAAAATAATAATAATAATAATAATAAAAAAATTGTTTTATATATGTATATATATATATACATACATATACATACATACATACATACATACATACATACATACACACACAAATAATAATTATAACAAAATTTAAATTATAGAACTTGCAGCAGCACTATCAAGGTTCTTATTAGCTATTTCCAGCCTTAGCTGAGATGACGAGCCAATAATTAGTTTTTAGGTTTTACAGCACCTTACACAACACGCATCTGCCCATCTCCCTGATTCCCCCATTCACTCTGTCCAATTTGAAATATAGTTGAGTAGTGGAGACCAGAGTCTATCAAACTTGGGCTGTCTCTTGTGGAGGTCATAAGTGAGCTTTTCAAGGGGGAGAAAGTCAACAATCTGGTCAATCCACATTTTAAATGTAGGAGAAGTATTAGAGGCCCACAATAGAAGAATACATTTCTTAGCAAAGTATGTAATGGTCATGAGCAAATTTTCTCTGTCAGGATCAAGAACAAAGTCCTGCTGGGCATTAAGAAGATAGAGACACGGGGTCATATCAAACTGTACATCTAGTATTTTCTGTGCAGCAGTATGTATAGATTGCCAAAATCTGGCAATCTCTCTGCAGCTCCAAAATACATGCATATAGGTTCCACTTTCAGAGGTACATCTATTACAATTAGGAGAAATGTCTGTTTTCATTTTATGGAGTCTCAGGGGAGTGTAATAAAATTTGTACAAAAATTTGTAATTAGATTCTTTCATTTTTACATTAGTAGAGGAGCAGTATACCCTGTCGCAAACCTCCGCCCATAACTCGTCACTGATAGTCAGACCAAGGTCCTTTTCCCATATTATTTTCAAAGGAGTAAAGGAGGATCCTCCTTTCTCAGAAAGGAGTCTATAGATATAGGATATTTTGCCTTTAATGGATTGTGCTGTGACAAGAAGGGTTTCAACTTCATTCAACTGAGTTCTAAACCTCCTCTTGGAAGTAAATGAGGAGATGACATGTCTAATTTGTAGATATTTAAAAAAAATGGGATCTTGGCACATTGAATTCATTGCAGAGCTCTTGAAAGGATTTCAGTGTAGTGGTCTTCTGATGAAATAGGTCTGAAAAGGTCCTGATTCCTAGAGTATGCCAAAGATTAAAGTTGGCATCTCTCAGGGCTTTTGGCAAGTCTGGGTTGCCTACTATAGGCGAGTGAGAACATATTTGGGAGGAGATGCCCAAGTATTTCTTACAGTCCCTCCACGCTCGTAGGGTACTGTAAATCACAAATGTTTTGGCTATGTTGCCCACTTCACTAAAGTTATACAACTGAATTTTTAAGTTTAAAGTGAATAATGAAAACACTTTAATCCTATGTTTTTTTTCAGACACTGGTGATCTATGCCCTTGGGGTAGTCCTACAGGATGCAGACACCTGGAACCGTCCCTACAAGTGTGTTCATATGTATTTTCCTTGGAACCTTTTGCCACCTATAGAGGCCATTTTTGCCGGGGGTTTTTGGTACCAAGTTTGAATTCTTGCACTTTGTCCATTCAGGTTTGACCCAGACCGATTCACAGAAGATTCAGCCAGGAAAAGCTTCTCTCTGCTTGGATTCTCAGGGAACCAGGCCTGTCCTGAGCTGAGGTAACGGGGATGAGAAAGCATAGTGGCGTGCACTTGAGATTTAACCAAGGGGCTAGGGCATTTTCTGGTTGTAATTACACAGGAGCAACTTATCAACATCAAAGGAAATGAAATGGAGAGGGAGTGTCACTACCAGGCAAAGAATAATGATGTGGGCTTGTTACTAACTTTTTACACAACACCATTTCTCCACCTTTTAGGTTTGCGTACACAGTGGCCACTGTCCTCCTCAGCACTGTGGTGCGCCAACTGAAGCTGCATCAGGTGAAGGGACATGTGGTAGAGGCCAGATCTGAGCTGGTGTCCACGCCTAAAGATGACACATGGATCACTGTGAGCAGAAGAAGCTAACTAACAGTGGACATTTGTCTCAAACTCCATCTTTGGAAGAGGAACGGAGTTATTTGGGAAAGTACTTGTCAGTTAGCTCAGGTTCTAGACCGAGTGGAACTGTTAAAATAACTGTAAACATGATGGTGAGCTTTGTAGGGCTACTTGTCAGTCAGCTCTTGAAGATGGTTTTGAGTAGCTCAAGTCAGTAACAATGGCGACACGGTCATTTGAGCTACCACCTGAAGTAGCTTTTTGTCCCCCCTATTTCAATATGAGGATCATTACCTATCTTTTCAAGCTGCATGACCATTGATGTTTTTGTCTTAAACCTTGCCTTAAACCACATGCTGCCCAAGTGAAGGCTATTTTATCTCCGCTCTTGGACTTCTGAACAACATTCCAGCTGAACTGCCTTCCAAAACACGTGGTCTCCACTCCCCCAGATACATGGCATTTAGACAGTTCATCCTTAATAAAGTTTACACTACTTGTGTGTTAGGATAGGAATATAATATTTTGCACATTTGTTGCAGCCACCCGGTTGTGAGCGTATCCTGCATCTGTCAAGAGGTCTAGGCCATTATTGTCAACAAGTGCTCACTCTGTATCTGCAGGGTCTCTGATTCAATCCCCCAGCCCTGTTTCCCCTGTATCGCTTTGTTAGCATTGATTGTTTAAAATGTGTAATACTTTAACATTTAAATAATATCAGTAACATCTGGATTTATTAACAGCCTTTTTCCATGTGGTATTGTTTCCTTTCAAAACAGAATCTTGAGGTTTTCTCATAATTTACACCAGTCACAATGTAAATAGGCAAGGAATTGAAAGAGCAGAGTTCTAGGTATCACATCCACTTCCGTTTATTATTCAATTTGTCACGGATTGTCACACTCTCCGTCATAGTTGGGATGCCCAACGCCACCTCTGCATGAGCGGTGGAGAGGCTGGGATCTGGCTTGCATTGATTGATAAAGATGTGAAAATGGCGGAGTTACAAATGCTTTTGGAAGAGGAGATTCCAGCTGGACGTAGTGCATTATTAGATAGTTTTACTAATTTGGAAAGAGTTGCCGAGTATTGCGAAAGCAACTATGTTCAGGTAATAATCATTTTATAACATTATCAATTATACATTCTACGAGTATCATCTTTGACGGTGGGCGAAGTGATGGCTACGAGCTATGCCGAGGAGGTGCAGCGACTCAACTGCAAGGGTGCTCCTGTTAGCACGAGCAAGCTAGGGTATATCTAGCTAGCTAACCTTAGTTGGCTACTTCATGTGGAACGTAGATAGCTAGCTATGTTTTTCCTAATATGAAAACATTGGTTGCCGTTCTCCAACCGTCATACATGTATCAAACGTTTATTTAGTTGCTAGTATTTTGACTAACTTGACTTCATTAGCTATTTACCTCCAACCAAATGATGCTTGCTAGTTAGTTAGCTGTGCTAACTAGTTGAGCTAGCACGAATTATCTGGGCACACCAGGCACAGCTGGTTTCATGATTGACAGTGTCGTGATGGGGTACACAACAAGGTATTCAGCTAAGGTAAATAAGTAATGAATTTAATTGAATATCAAATGATGGGACACGTGATCTGATACCAGAAGTAAATCGAAGAAGCTACAAGTAAACGAATTGTTATGACTATAGCAAACGGGCTAGGTAGCTAATTCCAACTAGCCACGGTTTCTAGTTAGCTGCACTGCTAGCAGCCATTGCTGTCAAATTCTCCAGTGGTAGGATTTTGAAATTCCCGACTTGTGTCAACATTTAGCTAGCTGTCAACATTGGTCGTGAAGAAAATATATATATCCTGTGTGGCACTTTTAAGCGTTCTTCTCCTGCCAATACGTAACGTTACAGCCTTATGATGTGTGCCAAATAAGTCACTGCAGATTGGAAAGGACATCCTGTATCATGAATGCAGAACTTCTTGTACTACTTACTGTAGAGTGGGAAAATGTGTGTTTTATAGACTGTACTGGTGGCTCTGACAGTGGCAGAACAAGCAAAATTGTTAACGTTAGTCATGCCATGAAGTACATTTTTCCTAATGTAAAGTGATGTTCTGACACTGAGTGTGAAACGTTTGGCAATTTGTCATTCGTGCCACAGCCCTGGAACTAGAGGTCTTCACGGGTCCAAAAAGTTGGACCTGTTCCGAAATGGACCTGGGGCTTTCCCACCCTGACCCGATATGCATAAATTCATTAAAAAATATATAGAGACCCGTTCTGAACGGACCCGAGGACAACTAGACCCGTTCCAGGTCCAATCTGATCCAAGTGATGGAAGCAGCAGAAAATCATGTTTAATTAACTGGAGCTGATAAAAGCCAAGAAGAGGGAGAGAGGTGCTGCTATAGCAGGCGGGGGAGGGGCATACTGTGAGCGAGTGACATGGGGAGGGAGGGAGAGATGAGACAGCAACCATCCAAGCCGACTCGCGCTATAGTAGACTAATAGCTGCCATAGCAAGGTTATGTATCATCAAATATGATTATGTAGTACCTGTCTTGGACTGCATTAAACCGGGAGAAGCTAACTGAGGCTGCAGTGCATGCACTTTCTCATCCTACAGTTACAAATAACTCCATTCAGAATATTAAGTAGCAGCCTGCCTGCCTGTTGGCTCTTGGTCGTTGTAACCTATTCTTCTCCTTTAACTTTTAATTCCATAATTTTCATTCCATCTTCCATTGATTTGATATCTCCTAACTTTTGCAACACAGAGCAAGGCTCTATGACTGTAGCCTATTGCCGCTTTGATGACTTATGATTGATTGGCCAACAACAAGCTATATGCATAAATTATACAATTTCTCTCTCTACTGCAGCAGTCGCGTTCGGATCTGTACGGGTCCTTCCTAACAAGTCAGTTAAAATTACACATATCTGAGACCCGTGACAATCATATCAGATCCGACCCAGACCTGTGAAATTATAAAAAATTCTGGATCCGGACCTTCTCGGGTATTCGGGCACAGGTGGATCTGTGAAGACCTCTACCTGAAACATCCATCCCTCTTGCCCTACAACATTTTCCGGACTGCTGTCAGTGTAGTCACCAACCACCACGACCACATTCATGGTCAAATCAAATTTTATTGGTCACGTACACATACATTCAGTGGCCAGTTTATTAGGTACTCTCGTCTAGTACTGGGTCGGACCCCCTTTGCCTCCAGAACAGCCGGAGTTCTTTGTGGGAATGTAAACGTTACTCAGTTGGTATCAAGGGATCTAACATTTGCCAGGAAAACATTCCCCACACCATTACACCACCGCCACCAGCCTGTACCATTGACACCAGGCAGGATGGCGCCATGGACTCATGCTGCTTATGCCAAATCCTGACTCTGCCATCAGCATGACGCAACAGGAACCAGGATTCGTCGGACCAGGCAATGTTGTTCCACTCCTCAATTGTCCAGTGTTGGTGATCGTGTGCCCACTGGAGCCGCTTCTTCTTGTTTTTAGCAGATAGGAGTGGAACCCGGTTTGGTCATATGCTGCAATAGCCCATCCGTGACAAGGACTGACGAGTTGTGCCTTCCGAGATGTCGTTCTGCACACCACTGTTGTACTGCGCCGTTATTTGCCTGTTTGTGGCCTGCCTGTTAGCTTGCACGATTGTTGCCTCTCGACCTCATCAACAAGCTGTTTTCGCCCACAGGACTGCCGCTGACTGGATGTTTTTTGTTTGTCAGACCTGTCTCTGTAAACCCTAGACACTGTCGTGCGTGAAAAGCCTAGGAGGCCGGCCGTTTCTGAGATACTGGACCTGACGCACCTGGCACTGATGATCATACCACGCTCAGTTGCTTAGGCCACTTGTTTTTCCCATTCTAAAGTTCAATCGAACAGTAACTGAATGCCTCGATGCCTGTCTGCCTGCATTATATAGCAAGCCACGGCCACGTGACTCACTGTCTGTAGGAGCGAACCATTTTCATGAACGGCCACTGTGTATTTTGCAGATGTTATCGCAGGGCAGCGAAATGCTTATGTTTCTAGCTCCAACAGTGCAGTATAGCTAACAACACAAAACAGTACACACAAATATCAGAATGAGCAATGTCAGTCCGGTGTATATGTATATAAATAAAGTGTGTAATGGTGTGTATGGACAGTATATGAATAGCAAAAGTGTGTACAGCAGTAGTTAAATAGGATGAGCCATGACTAGAATACAGTATATACATATAAAGTGGGTAAAACGGTATGTAAACATTATTAAAGTGACCAGTGTTCAATCGTCCTGGCACTGATGCGCAATCACATTATTGGGTATAGTTAATAATTAACATGACTAAAGATGTCTTGACTTGTGATCTTTCTTCTGCTTCTGCCCAGCTGTGATCATGACTCTCATTCTCACACACACGGCTCAAGCACAGACTCACTATTTGATTTATTTATTTTTAAATATTTTTGGGAGCTTATGGCACCTGGTATTCCCAGGCGGTCTCCCGTCCCAGTACTAACCAGGCCCAACCCTGAACAGGCGTGTTCTGGGTGGTATGGCCACAAGCATATATTTAGTAAAAAATGTTCTCCCTCAATTAGGTCCCTTGGCTCATCTCTGCAACTCCTCAATGGACTCGGGAGAGGCGAAGGTCGAGTAATGCGTCCTCCGGCCGCCTACGTCTTATCACACTGCTCGCTTAACCCGGATGTCAGGCGCACCAATGTGTCGGAGGAAACACAGTTCGACTGACGACCTTGCAGGCGTCTGGCACTGTCACAAGGGCTAGAGCATGATGAGCCAAGGAAAGCCCCACCGGCCAAAACTTCCCCTACCCCGGACGGCGCTTGGCGGTCACGGCCGGTTGTGACACGACTCAGCACTACGGTGCAGTGCTTTTGACCGCTGCGCCACCCAGGACTCAATATATTTAATTAGGCTAATCTGAGATTGTTCAATAAAAGTCTGCTGGTTCCCCAATAGGCCCCAGCCTATATAGTTGGTCACAGAATGGATCACTGTTCACTGTTTTGTTTGAGATTAGATTAGTCACATGCACAGGGTCGCAGATGTAATTGCAGGGTACAGTGAAATTCTTAAGCTCCGAGCACCAACAGTGCAGGTAAAAAAAGAGAAGTGAATGAAATAATAATAATATACATATACATATTTACAACTGTAGCAATGATAAATGTTCATAGGGGGGTGGGGGCAGGGTAAATGTCTGTTGTGGGGGGCTGACAGTATGCTCTCGATGGTGCTCCTGTAGAAAACTGTAAGGGCCCTCTGGGACTGGCCGAATTTCCTCCTCCTGAGGTTGAAGAGTCGCTGTCGTACCTTTTTCACCACGGTGTCTGTGTAGTTTGACCATTTCTGTGATGTTTTTGACCATCTCCATTGATGAGGACAGCCTGGTTCCTCCTGAAGTCCACAATCAGCTCCTTTGTTTTGCTGAAGTTGAGGGAGAGGTTGTTTACATGGCACCACGCCGTCCGAGTGCCTACCTCCTCTCTAGGCTGTCTCGTCGTTGTTGGTAATCAGGCCTACTACTGTCGTGTAGTCAGCAAACTTGATGGAGTTGGAACTGTGTGAAGCCACACAGTTAGGGAGAGGTTAGATTGAAGTCCTCTGGTCTGCCTGATGTAGGCCTATTTGTCAGTTATTCTTTGCTAAAGTATGAGTGATTTATATAAGCAACGCCTATTTTCCTCCACCTGAGTTAATTGCAGGTTGGCTATAAATCAAAAATGATCTGATGAATGCTGTCAGTTGATCTTGAGACTACTATAAGTGTGAAAGGTTGTGTGCTCTTGTCATCCCAGTGCACTACAACTGCACCTTTCTTTGATTACTGACAGATAACCTGTCTGTCTTCATGCTTGAGAATGGATGTAATTCCTTAGTGGTGCTTTTGACTCCCCCGTAAGGCATGCAGGTGTATTTGTGGACTGTGGAATTGGTGACTGAGGCTGCCTAGTTTTCACTGTTGTTAAAGCGCATCTGAAGGCAATAAACAACTTCTCTGATAGAAAACGGCCTATGTGGCATCGATATTAGTCAGACACATTTATTCTAGTGTCAAAATTGACTACAAAGTGTAAATAGGATAATTTTGTTCATAAAGTCAGTCTCGTCCAAAACTGAGTTTTGTAAGTGAGTTCGTCATGACTTACTTGAGGGTTGGGTTTTGATTTCAACAATGTTCACTTGCCCTCTAACACAGGATACACAGCTGTGGTGATTGCGCTCTATCCAATCCTACTGCAGACAGTGAGACAGACCTACCCGTCAGTGCACCGGATCTGACTTTGTTTACATAAGACAACACGTCGCATATCTTTTTACTTGAGAAATACTGCACCAAACACCTTAGCTAGATGTAAAATTGCGCGACTAAAACCTCAGCAAAAACTCAAGAAATATGTAATTAATTGAAGTTATCTTAGAATCATTTACTATTTTGAAGAAGTAATACTGGCTTTGTTCCTATGGTGTCTCATGGGGGACAATCATCAGTAGCTGCCACATCGAACCACACCCCCAAGACCGAAATCTATTATTTTCTTAATGAGCAACAGAGAAACACATGCCAGAATCTGTGCGTTCAGTCGATATTTAACACTTCAAAATGAAGGGTGTGATGACTGATCTACCATCCATGGAATTGAGGGCAGATGGGGAGGGTAGAGGGTTGGCCTTTGAGAAAAGAAATGTCATACATGACATACTGACAACAAGGGAAGTCCTGGTCAGAAAAGGAAGGAAAGGTTCATCTCCAGGAAACTCTGTTTCCCTCTGAAAACAGATGGCCTTGACTTGCCTAGTCATCCTTCAGCCCCTGCAAGATCCTATTTATATGATGTCGATGCTGTCCTTTTTGGCTTGTTTTGCTATAGCCTCTACTCGCTCTTCTCTGTTACTGATGTCTATCTGTTTATCCTCTCTCTCTCCCTCTCCCTTATTTTTCTCTTCTCTCCCTTCTCAGTCACCAGATAAGCACAGAGCGTTGGAGGAGACTAAGAACTACACCACCCAGTCCCTGGCCAGCGTAGCCTACCTGATCAACACATTGGCCAACAATGTCCTGCAGATGCTTGACATTCAGGCCTCCCAGCTACGCCGCATGGAGTCCTCCATCAACCACATCTCACAGGTACGGCTGCCTGGAAGTGGAACACACACTGTATACACATACACATCCATTAGCCTAAGAATACCTGATTCGAAACGATAGGCCTAGTTCAAAAAGGTGTCTTGTTCAAGTCTCTCTTAAGAAATAGGCTAACTGTATTTCTTCCCCCCTTGTGCGGCCCCAGACAGTGGACATCCACAAAGAGAAAGTGGCCAGGCGGGAGATTGGCATCCTGACCACCAATAAGAACACCTCTCGCACACATAAGATCATTGCTCCGGCCAATCCAGAGAGGCCGGTGCGCTACATCCGCAAGCCAATCGACTACAGCCTGCTGGATGACATGGGCCACGGAGTCAAGGTAGGGAGCAGTGGAGTCCAGGCATTGACGGTTACCGACTGGATTCCTGATGATAGTAGTACATTTTATTTTTGTACTGGAGTGAGTTTTCATCAACCTTTTGTAGCACTAAGATCACGGACAAACAATGATCTTAGTGCGACAAACATTTTGAGAAACTCCCCCCTGTTTGATACAAAGACAGTAGTAGGCCCTTGGGATAAGCACAAGGGTGTGGTGGTAATGGTGTGAGTCACTTTGAATAGGACAGTGTGTGAATTGTTCGTTGCTTGCCTATAACATTGCTACATGTGTTTCTGTTCATGTGCATTTTCTACCTATTTTCTCACTTAGTCACTAATCCTCCTTTCTCTTTCTCTCTCTTTGCTTCACTTATTTGCCTTTAAAATGAACCTAGTGGTTGCTAAGGTTTAAGGTAAGGATTTCTAACGAAATGTAAACCCTAAAAACAAAGTTAGTATGCGTGTATGACCAGAGTGTGTTGTCTGATCCCAGGTTATGTTGTGTTGCTCTGTTGACTAGTACTTCCCTGTTGTTGTTTTGTAACCTCTCTCACCGTGTCCTGTAGGCCAGTGCTCAGAACGTGAAGGCCGGAGCCGCAGGTCTCCCTCGCACCAACCCACCTACACAGAAGCCACCCAGCCCACCCATGTCAGGGAAGGGAACCATTGGGTATGTAAACGTGGCAGGTACCACAGCCCCTGTCCATGCTGCTCATGTCCTCGAGAAAAACATGCTTTAAGTCTCGGCAACCACGTTCAGACATCTTTATACATGTTCATCAATGGGCAAGATGTGATCATACAGGCACCAGGTGTCCCTTTGTACTACAGACTCCTTTAGTGTCCCTGTGCTCCTCCTAAGCCCCCTATGGTGGGCTATGGACCAGGCTTCCCACTCACCACCCTTACAACTCCCAGCAGCGACCTTTAGTGACATTTATTTAAGGTCCGGAGCAGACCTCTTTGAAAAGGTCAAAGCTAGCCTCTGGCAAATGATATGCTGTTTGATGATAGAATGAATTTCATCAGAAATGTGTGTGTGTGTACATTCCAGTGAATGGGTATCTTAAAATCTGTATATTGATATTATGGGCTACTGTTATTGTTGCTCTGTCCTGTTGTGTCCCTGTCCAGTTTGTATCCCCCTCTACAGACCTGTCCATAACAGTAATGTATGAAATGGTTTATAACATTGTGTTTTATGTCTCTCCTAAAGTGTGTGTGTGTGTGACCTTCAAACATGTCCTCCCTGAAATGAGACGCATGTCGGTCGTTAATGACACACTGCCCTAGTCCAGTCTCTGGTGTAGAGGAGGCATCTGTCTGTGGTGTTTTGGTTGCTTTTGTCCCCCCCCCCCCCCCCCCCCCCCATATGTGTGATGTCGTGACTCCTCCCCCCTCAACCTCGAATTCAGGCTGTTCATGCTCTCACATTTACATGTACATTTTAGTCATTTAGCAGACGCTCTTATCCAGAGCGACTTCCATGGCAACAGCTCTCAAAGTTCCATCCTGTAAACAAGAACAGGGGGAGAATATACTTGGCAGCTCATCCATACTTTGAGGCTTTTTATTCCACTGAAGCACATCAATAGACATCATTGTCCTCGGTTGATGTCGGGCTGTGTAAGAACTGAAGCAGCAGCTGTGGACACGACTGATGCATTGAAAGCCTTTTCCCACCTACACCCCATTTTGAGTTTGCACTGGTTCTCTTTTATTTCTTTTTGTCCTCCTTTTCTTTCTCCCCCCCTCCCCCTCTTCACTTGTGGATGTTAAACTCCTCTCATACCCCTCCCCTCGCAGGCGCCACTCCCCCTATAGGACGCTCGAGCCGGTGCGTCCTCCCGTTGTCCCTAACGACTACGTCTCGAGCCCGACGCGCCATGGCAACATGGCGCCCCCACAGCAGAGCCCTGCACGCACTGCATCTGTTAATCAGAGGAACCGCACGTACAGGTACCCCGCCCCGCATGCTCTCAGCACACCGTTAGCTAAAAACAGGCCTAGAACACACTTCGAGCGGCCCTGGACTCACTGAACAGACACGCTTTGATTCTACTGCCCTGTAGGGAAGATCTGCTGCAATAGCTTGTGGACACTGTAGCTACATGGCACTAAACTTCTTTTTTTCCCAAACCTACCCGCAGTTTGAATAGGCACTACACCAAGCACAGAGAACAAACGTACAGCTCAGATAGACATTTATTCAAATATGTTTCTCTTTTCCAAGGAATGTATTTTTAGCACCTGCGTAACAGCAGAGGAAATTCAGATTAGATAAGCGCCAGCAGCTCTGGGTGTCACTGAGGCTCCTACCAGGCAGTGAGAACAAGATCTTTAGGACTACATGGCAGAGGATCTGCCACTAGAGAATTGAAGCTTGGGCTTTATAATACAACTGATCCCTTTTCTCTGTCAGAACCCTCTCACTTTCCTTCTGAGCTCATTATTACGTTTGAAACTGACATTGAAACTAATAGTAGCAATGGTTGACCTTGGCTTAAATTAAACACTGTTCTTTCAGCTCAACCTCTCTATCTATGCGTTGGTCGTTCCATCCATCCATCCTTCCAGTTTCTCACACATTCCCTGTCTCCAGTCTCCTCGTCTTTATTCTCGCCTTGGTTTTCTTCAGATGCCTCCAGCTTTGTCGCGCCTCTCTGTCTTTGTCACGTCATGTCTCACTAATCGACCACCGCTAAATGTCACGTTGTAATTTGTGATGTTTTGTTGTTCATTTCTTTATTGCTGTACATGTCATCTCAAAGCAGAGCTGTTCATTTAAATCCAGTCAGTGCTGGGTGGGTGGGGGCAGGATTTTGGTCCAGGAGAAACTCTGGTTTGGTAGGTTGTGCTTGATACCAATAGGGCTCTAAGGACTGGTTTCCTGCACACAGATTAAACCTAGCGCTGGACAAAAAATCACAGTACTTTTTAGTCCAGGACTAACTTAATCTGTGTCTGGGAAACTGGCCCTACAAAGTATGTAACCTCTAATCTAGACGGTAAATGACTTAAGAACCAATGCCAGCGGGTGTGGTGTGGGTTATCTGATGGGTTATGTGATGGGCTGTGTGACGTCATTAGCAGTGGCAGCAGTGGAGGCAGCCACCCCAGCAGCAGCAGCCGCAGCAGCAGCAGAGAGAACAGCGGCAGCGGCTCTGTGGGCTTGCCTATCGCCGTGCCAACGCCTGCCCCGCCCCCCACAGCATTCCCAGGTAAGGTCCGGCCCCATGCCCTGCCCACTGTGTCTAAGCTCCGCCTACTACCTCTCTAAAGAGCAATACTGTCTGACTGCTTTAAACTCTCTCCTTCCTTCCCCCTTGATAGTGTCTGAGCACCTGTCTTTATCTCGTCTCCTGTCTTTCCTTCTCCTTTCCTTTCCTCTTTTCCGCTGCCTTCTACCCTTTCCCACCTGCTGATGGTGCAGGTACCGCCCCTGCCCTTCCCAACCCTGCTAAGCCACCTCCCACTACCACCACTACTCCCGTCCCACCTGATGGTCTCCCTGGCCTTTCTCTATCTCCCAACCCCTCCCCCACCCCCCCCTCCTGAGGGTCCACCCGTGCCCCCTCCCCCCCCACCCCAGCTCCCCACTGCCGTCACTAGCACCGGCCCTGCTGCTTTCAGCACCCCCGCACAAGGTGAGTGTGTCCCCCACCACCACCTCTGCATCCCGTCCATCTCTCCCATCCCAGGACCTGTATATGTCTGTGTACCAGCAGGGTTGTTGTGACGTGGGCCGGTCGTTCTCCACTTGTGTTCTCCACTCCTGAGACCTTGTGTGTCTGCATCATCAGAGTTCCTCCATCAGCCTCCCTCTCACTGTCTGATCTGTCACTCTGTCTTTTCCTCTGGGTGTCTCTCTATCTTTCTCATTCCCTTCTTAGGGCAACTCTCTCCCATCGATCCCAGTCACCACCTGCATGCCATCCTCACACCTTGTGCATGAGTTAAATTGTCCTTGTGATCTTACAGTAAGTGATGTAACAGTTTATGGCTGAAAGGGGTCTTTGACTTGAAATATGCCATGATGATAAGACGTCTGAATACCAAAAACAGCAAAGTGCTTAAATCGATCCCATGAATGAAGTGCATCATGTGACGGGAAACAGAAGTGATTGATAAGTTTAGTGACATGGCTACACCGTACCAAAATCTCTCTCTGGTTCCCCTTGCTGTCTGTACCCCAGGTGCCCCCCAGTTCTTCAGCATGAACCGACCGGTGCAACCACAGAACCCTCCTGCGGTGGGGGGGTCTCTGCCGTACCGCCGGCCCGCGTCAGTGACGGGCCAGCCCAACTCCAACATGCCCCTGGCCCTGGCCCTGAACCAGCCCAATGGAGGACCCCACTTCAACCAGGTCCCAGGTAACAGCCTTGACCAGCAACATAATATCACTCCTACCAGAACGCAAATGGGCTTTTGTGTTTAGAGATCTTTCTCATTTAGATTGTCTGCCTTTTAGAGCTTTCTTTCATATATTACTGTCTGGTTTGGATCCTTGAGCATTTGGGTGCCAGGTCCATCCTGTAACTCATTTGTGGAAACAAAATTTATACCGGAACAAATTATTTCTGTTACTTGGCTAAGAGTTTAGTTAAAAAACATGAAATACAAGCTGATAACGGTTTTCAGTTCTTGTGGAAGCAAACTGTCATTTTGTGAGTTTCCAGAACCTCACTAGAGTATTGAATTCATACATGAAAACCCCATTTGATTTCAGCAGACAGGCGAACCTATGGGAAGGCACAAAGCGCCTAACTCTCGGCAGCTCGCTGTCTTTTGTGAAAGGATTTCTGCTCTTGATTTAGCCCTTTTTAATGCCTAGTCTGCCTACTGATCTAACTGGCTTCATGTTCTAAATGCTAATACCACCACGTCTCTCTCTGCCTTCCTCCTTTCTTTCCTGATTACAATCTGCTCCTCTTTTTCTTCTCTCTCTCTCTCTCTCCCCCTCTCTCTGCTTTTTCCTGTGGTATGGTGTGTGTATAGCAGGTCCTCTTGTTGCCCCCCCTCCCCCCTCCATGCAGATCACTCCCCAGCTCCCTCTGATGGGCTTTGTGGCTCGGGTACAAGAGACCAGTAAGTGGCTTTTAGCTCCTCCGCCTTGTTGCCTCGTCTTCGCAGTGGCTCCCTCGTGCATGCGTTTATTTTACTCACGTAACGAGTATTTTTATCGTCGATACTTCAAAGCTGAACTATCCATCAACTTCGATTTACCTGTCTGAAATAAACTTCTCGTCTGTGCACGTTGAAATTGTGTTCTCCTTTCCCCCAGAATTCTCTGTTTGTCTTTATACACTTTCAGCATGGACGCCCAAACAACCACTCCAGCCCAACGCCACACGCATGGGAATGCCAGTGTCAGTCAACATGGAACTAACTAACCAGTGGAATGTAGACAAGGTGGTTCCTGACTGTGTTGTTTCCCCCCAGTCTCAGACGTGCCCCCTCCCCCGCCCCCCGTAGAAGAGGCTGTGTTTGAGGAACCCACCCCGCCCCCTCCGCCTCCAGAGGACTATGAGGATGATGAGGAGGAGGAGGAGGAAGAGTCGGCCGTGGTGGAGTACAGTGACCCCTACGCAGAGGAGGACCCCCCGTGGGCCCCACGCATCTACATGGAGAAAGGTAGCGAGCGGCTCTCTCTCTTCCACCCGGATCTAACCCATGCCCTGTCTACTTCTTCTGTTCTTCCCTCTGTCTTTCTGTCTTGCGCTCTCTCTCATCTCCCTCCCTTGTGCTTTCTCTCTCCCTCTCTCCCCTTTCTTCTCCGCTCCTCTAACATCCTCCTCTCTGATTGGTGGACAGTGGTGGCGATCTACGACTACGCGGCGGACAAGGAGGACGAGCTGTCCTTCAACGAGGGCGCCATCATCTACGTCATCAAGAAGAACGACGACGGCTGGTACGAAGGAACGATGAGCGGCACCACCGGCCTCTTCCCCGGGAACTACGTCGAGTCCATCATGCACTACGCCGACTGAAGAGGAGAGGTATAGGAAGGTCAAAGACTTTGTTAGACAGAGCATGATCACACTGTGGAAGTCGAAGAGCGTTCATGAAGAGTATACAACCATCCTCAACCGGTTTACCAGATGAAGTACATTGTACAACGGCCACTTGTAGATATTCCCTGTTTTTGAATAATATGAGGAGACTGTATGGTGTTGGTTTTTTGTATGTACTATTAGGGCTTCATTTTGTCTTTATGATTATTATATGGAAGGCCACAAGGATGATAGTGTTTTTTTTTCTTTTCCTTATTTTGCCCATTTGCCCTTATTTTAAACAGTTTTATTTATTTGGACCTTGTATTATATAGGGAGGGTGGGATGGTATGGTAGGCAGCGCTGCTGATTAAGGATAGAAATAGATCAACCTGATGAAGGTCTCTACTCTCAGCCCAAGAGAAGAGGCTAAATGAGAATACTTTTTCCAATAGTTTCTCTCCTGACACCCCCAGAGCCTTTCTAGACTCACACATTTTCTTTATTTAAAACCAGAAGGAGCTCCTATTGGTTAGTGTGATGGGGAGATGGACTGTTGCGCTTGAACTTTTTATACAATGTCACGTTTGGAGACATAACAAAGCTGACAGTCACTGGCAAGACAAGCACATACTGTATGTTTGCATTTGACAAAATATAGACGATAAAAGCTAGATATTACAGTGGCAGGTAAGACTGGGGGTAAAAAAGACACTATGGAACAGATGTAATTTTAGCTCACCTGAACACACATTTTGAAACTCCCTTCAGTTTGGATTCAGTGGTTAATTAATTGGTTCTGGCCCCAGGCTAGCTAGGGCAGCTTAGAACACTAGGGCTTGGAGCATGCTCAGTCACTACTTCACTTGCCTCACTTCACAGGCCAGTTCTAGTATCAGGATAGATAGAGCAGTGTTTCTGGGATGTTGCTGACACTGATTTGGTCAGTTCTAGTTTCAATTGAAGTGGTCTAAGGAAAGACGTTGGCTTCCCTGGCACAAAACAAGTTTGAGAAACACTGAGATAGATGGAGTTGTCTGTCCAAAGTAGAAAGAGGAGAGGAGGAAGGGAAACTCAAATTGCAAAATTACTGATAGGTTGAAGTCACTGCCTCACCTCCTTGTAATCAAGACCGAGAGGAGATTGACTTTGCCTGTCTTGGCAGAGCAGAAGGAATATCTGCAGCCTCTATTAGGCAGATAAATACTCTGGCCACTCATTTGCAGTGTTAATTTGTATCAACTATTTCAGTATTTGACGCTTATTTGTTCCTCTTCTAGTGGGTCTTCACCAAAGGGTGGCAGACTGCATGTTTTTGAAAAATGATTCATTTGTCTCCTTTTCTGCTATATTGATTATTCCTGTCTTAATATTTTAGGTATGGTGTGGTTATTGGTTTGGTTTTAAATATTCACCTATATTACCATCGTTGACAGGTGGGGTTTCATGATGCATTTATAGGAGGTGATAAAGGAAGCTTGTGCCATATTGAAGTGTGTGTGCGTGTGTGTAGGTGTTTAAGGTATCACTTCCATTTGCAATAAAAATAGCCAGTGGGATGGGTTTGAAAATGTAGATCTTTGAGTTGTTTGGGATTGAAAGCACATACATTTGTAGTACGATAGTGAATTGTTACTGAAATAAAATGATATAAATAAAAATAAGCTGTATTACTGCCTCAGATGAGGACTAATATTAAAATGAGCATAAAAACCAGCCATTGGTTGTAGAAATTAACCAACAAACTGTAACCGGCACCAAAACCTTTCAATGACCTAATGGTTTCATCATGCTGAAACTGATGCATTGAGTGTTTCTATAGTCTATATAATGAGGTACAAGTATTCTATTTCTAATGTGCTTGGCCGTGTCTGAGCGTGTAAGTCAAATCCTTTATTTTTTATTAAAAGTGGGTCTGTTCTTGAGTCTTGCATGCCATTGTTCTTAATACTGTAGTGGTGTCTGAAACCCAGTTGGCCCTTCACAAGGCAGCCCCAGAACTGGACCCTAGGGGCACGGTCAGCAGAGCACAACATTTTGGAACGTTCAGATATGTTATGTAGAATAAACATGCCTCTGACATGTAGCATAAGGACTCATGTCAGCTCTATTCAGGACATTTCTATCTGCAATGTTCCACAACGCTGTGCAATGCTAAATACAGCCCCAGGTACTACTAAACCAGCCTCATCCAAAGACTAAAGTGGAAGCTAAATCGATGTCAACTTTGATCCCAACGTCTGAAGATCAATAAAGTTATGGGTTTTGGGATTCGACTACTCCAGGAGGAGCCATTCATTTAATGTGTAAATGGAGAATATATAATTAAGTGTGTAAGAACAAGTGTTCTATTCCCTCAGCCCACAACATCTCTGGATGTCAAGTAAAACAGTCCATAATGCCATTGTGTTGCACAGTAAAAAAGTTTAACTTTAGAAATAAATATGATATTTGTTAAATCATGAGAAGAAACCAATAAAACGATTAAGATTTATTGTGGTATTAATCTTCATTTTTACAGACTATATACACAAGTTAGTTACCACATGCTCCGTTTTCAGACGGACCTGTGGTGTGAGATTCCTCTTGTTTCATTGCACTGTACTGGTGACAGCAGATACAAAAATCATTCATTTTCTATGCTGAAGTATGCATATTCTCATTGAGTTTATATTTAATTAATCTAGTTATATACCTTAACACAGTTATTAACTGTGACTTTAGTGTCTGTTTAAACACTTTGTGTTTCTTTAACATTAATAAACCCCAGAGGAATAAAGATAGAAAACAATTCCCACAAAATATAGAAAAACTGAACACAGATCTTATTCTTTGAAGAGAAGTTGCCCCCAAATGAAAATGGTACTTACTTTACACAAAGTGGAAAATTCATTAGTTTTACACCTTATACAACAGTATTGCCTTGGAATCATCTTGACATAATTTGACAACTCTCCCTCCAAACTACCAGCAGTACAGAAGAGTAACGGATCTATGAGGGGTGATACAGGAGAGAGAGAAGGGTTAAAAATCTCACTGTAGACAGTGAGTGAAACTATACATGGGTTGTCTGAAGCAGCCAGTCCCCTCCTCTCCCTTCTAAGGCTCACAGATGAGTGTCTCGACCACAAACTTGTTCTCAAAATGACGGATCGTCCTGCAGTTCAGGGCTTCACGCTTTTCCCTGCCTGCAAGGTACAGATGAAGGAAGATGTGTATTAAAAATGAGTGTGTAGGCCCGTATAAACATCTGCTATAGCACCTGTTCATTGGCCAGAGTATAATGCTGTGCGTGTGTTCTCAGGTCCACCAAGGGGCCCAAGGAATTTCACAAATAATATTCAGCATGCCTTATATACAAATATATGGTCAATACATGGCTATTCAGGGTACAACTTAAAAAGGTGTGTGTGCTAGTACTGACCCAGTATGGTGTGTGTGTGCGCGTCAGTAGTACTAACCCAGTATGGCCTCTCTGCGTTCCAGCTTGTAGGTGTCTCTGCCATTGCAGAGGCTGTAGATGAAGTATCCCAGCTGGTCAACGTTCTCCAGACGCTCGGTCACCATCATCTGCTCATGGACCAGGTAGGACTGGGGCAGGTAGGTACCAGCCTAGGGGCAAATCAAACACATTTAATTAACATTATTTCCTCCAATAACTGATACATTTAATTTATTTGATCACCTGAAATACATCTAAAACAGCTCCAGTCGTGTGTTACAGGTACCTTGATGTTGATGAGCAGCTCCAGCAAGTCCTTGGGAGGCATGACGATGGAGGTGTTGAGGGGGATGACGTAGCACTTGTTCAGGCTCAGGTCTAGGTAGGCTGTCAGCCTCTGAGGAGGAGGAGAGGGAGGAGGAAAGGAATTAGATCCAACGCTACAAAAACACCCAGAGGTACTGTACATTCAGAACTCAACACACATTATTACATTCAACAACTTCAATTCAGCACGTTTTATTAACACAGTATTGAACACTTACCGGTTTCTACAAATATGAGTTTAAGAAGGCTAATACGCTGGAGGAATGACTTTCCTCTGAGACATAAATGCATAGATACTGTATATATAAACAAATCAGACCACAGCGTGCAGGTTTACATCCAATTAATAACAGCTTTTCAGCTTTTCAGAACGCTGCAGCCCGTCGGGTGTTCAACCTTCCCAAGTTCTCTCATGTCACCCCGCTCCTCTGCACACTCCACTGGCTTCCAGTTGAAACTCGCATCTTCTACAAAACCATGGTGCTTGCCTACGGAGCTGTGAGGGGAACGACACCTCCTTACCTTCAGACTCTGATCCTACACCCAAACGAGGGCACTACGTTCATCCATCTCTGGCCTGCTAGCCCCCCTACCTCTACGGAAGCACAGTTCCCGCTCAGCCCAGTCAAAACTATTCGCTGCTCTGGCACCCCAATGGTGGAACAAGCTCCCCCACGACGCCAGGACAGCGGAGTCACTGACCACCTTCCGGAGACACTTGAAACCCTACCTCTTTAAGGAATACCTGGGATAGTATAAATATCTAGCCAACAGCTCACAGATACATATGGGGGTATAGCCTACATGATGAGATTATGGACAAAAGAGCAAGATTTTTTATTTTGTCAACGGCAGCCAAGCATTGATGATCATGTCACCAGAATAAGACCCTCAATATTTATTGGACAGCATCATGCTCATCAGCTTGCACGTTCACCACTCTGAAGTTCATCATAACTTATTTCATCTGTAGCCTGATAAACTGCATTCTTTCCCATGACGTAGTGGGAGGAGCACACGTCATCGCGTGACTCCAAGTTTACTTCGATTTGATGGTTATTATATCAATAGTTGCCCATAAAACCATTTCCAATGACATTTCTCACATAATTCATTTTACAGACACAAAAGGATCCCACCTTGCCTAGCGTATTTAGTGTTGTCGACATTTGGAAAGTTTACCGACAAATGTTCTGTTTTCGGCCTGTCGTGACTTTTTATCCGACTTACTTTACTCGCATAAAAAGGTTGGATGGAAAACTGTGTGTGTGTGTGTGTGTGTGTGTGTAGCAGTGTTCTCTTCTCACACTGTTGAAGTCGTGGACGATATCGGCCGGGTCGCTGTCTGAGAACTCGGGCACGGGCACGTTGATTAGCTCCACCTCCTCCAGCACACGGATGCTCTCCTGGATGTGTCTCAGCGCAGAGGGCAGGGCCACCTCCACCTCGTCCTGGACCATGTAGTCCTGTTCACGGTACTCCACCCCGCAGAAATACACCTGGCCCTCCTGAGGAAGGTAAGAAAACGACAGTGAGGACTTGTCTCTCACCCCGACTCCCTCTACCTTACCAACACTATAGGTAGTTAGCTAGCACACTCCGGGCTGGTTTCCCAGAAACATATCTCCTGATAAGGGGTTCATTTAAAGTGCTTCTTAGTCCAAGGCTAGGCTTAATCTGTGTCTAGGACTGGGAAACCAGCCCACAGCGTGTGCAAATGTGTCCTCTAACCAAAGAAAGGAAGCGTTAACTATACTGAACAAAAATATAAAAACGCAACATGCAAAGTGTTGGTCCCATGTTTCATGAGCTGAAATAAAAGATTCCAGAAATTTTCCATACGCACAAAAAGCTTATTTCACACCAATTTTGTGGACAAATCTGTTTACATCCCTGTTTGTAAGCATTTCTCCTTTGCCAAGATAATCCATCCACCTGACAGGTGTGGCATATCCAGAAGCTGATTAAACAGCATGATCATTACACAGGTGCACCTTGTGCTGGGCACAATAAAAGGCCACTCTAAAATGTACAGTTGTGTCATGCAACACAATGCCACAGATGTCTCAAGTTGAGGGAGCATGCAATTGGCATGTTGACTGCAGGAATGTCCACCACAGCTATTGCCAGATAATTTAATGTTCATTTCTCTATCAACGTCATTTTAGAGAATTTGGCAGTATGTCCAACTGGCATGACAACCGCAGACCACGTGTAACCACGCCAGCCCAGGACCTCCACATCCGGCTTCTTCACCTGCGGGATCATCTGAGACCAGCCGCCCGGACAGCTGATGAAACTGAGGAGTATCTCTGTCTGTAATAAAGCCATTTTGTGGGGAAAAACTCATTCTGATTGGCTGGGCCTGGCCCGCCCAGTCATGTGAAAACCACAGATTAGGGCCTAATGAATTTATTTAAATTGACTGATTTCCTTATATGAACTGTAACTCAGTAAAATCGTTGAAATTGTTGCGTTTATATTTTTGTTCAGTATATAGTTGAGCCTATGGCATTATAGGGGTCTAACCGACAGTCCTTCTCACCTGCAGTATGTAGGACTTGTAGAGGTAGGCCCCTCCGACCACCACACCTGACAGCATGAGAGCCAGGCCCAGGCACATGCACCAGCACCACACCTTGGACTGCCGACGCACCCGCATGCCATCCTCCAGGTCCTGAAAGAGAAGACAAATAGAGCTAAAACATTACATACATTTGATTTAATCATTTAAAATACATTACACCAATCAGATACAGTACATATTAAAATGACAGAGGATACATACACAAAAAAGTCAAGAGACTTCTTTCCATTGTGGTCCTCTAGAACAGGGTTTCCCAAACTCGGTCCCCAAGGGGTGAACGTTTTGGTTTTTGCCCTAACACTACACAGTTGATTCAAATAATCAACGCTTGATGATGAGTTGGTTATTTTAAATCAGCTGTCAAAAACCCAAACATGCACCCCTTGGGGTCCCCAGGACCGAGTTTGGGAAACCTTGCTCTAGAACATACAGAGTAGGGCCTATATACAGCTGGTCAGCCTCTCGCAATACCAGCATGTCTGCCTGTTTGTTCCATTACATAATATTGGTTCATCAACCTGTCTCAATGAACAGTAGGCTATATCAGTCCGGATGAATCATGGCTACCATCAAGAAAACTGACCTCTATAAATAATAATAATAATAAGCCATTTAGCAGACGCTTTTATCCAAAGCGACTTACAGTCATGTGTGCATACATTTTTACGTATGGGTGGTCCCGGGGATCGAACCCACTACCCTGGCGTTACAAGCGCCATGCTCTACCAATTGAGCTACAGAGGACCACAATAATCCTCTTTATTGTTCAAATAAATCCCTCCAACACAACAAAGCCAAACGGTGTTTGATTCAAATAGAGTGCTGCTCAGTCACAATACAGCTGTGGTGTGTTCTTTAGATTTTTTATTTATTACATTTTTTAGTCATTTAGCAGACGCTCTTATCCAGAGCAACTTACAGGAGTAATTAGGGTTAAGTGCCTTGCTCAAGGGCACATAGACAGATTTTTCACCTAGTCGGCTCGGGGATTAGAACCAGCGACCTTTTGGTTAGCAAAACGCTCTTAACCACTAAGCTACCTGCCGCCCAGGCAAGGTTGGAGTATGGTAGTAGTGACAGTAGAGATGCTTATGTAACATACCATTCAAACACACAGCTAATCCTTCCTCCCTTTCTCTTGCTCCCCAACCCTCCCTCTCTTCTCTGTGACCTTTCACCTCCTTTCCATCATCCCTTCACCTACTTCTTCAAGACATTCTACCCATTATTAATTGACTGCCTTATCTTTTAGCCCTCTCCATCATCTCTGTTGTTTTGCTCCCTCACTTTAATATTATGGAGCCCAGAGGCACATGTCGTAATTTGGTGGCAGGCCCTTTTCCTGAACTCATTGATGGTTGTTTATGCAGAGTTGGGGTGGGGTTCGTATTGAAACAAAAGAGTGGATGTCAACAGCTCTCTCTCCCTGGAGATCAGATGAGGAAAACAAAACAGATTTCCATGCTCGTACTATAGTGGAAGATAGAGAAACAATATGTTTGAGACCTACAACAGTTTCTGTAGTGTAGACAAGCCATGTCCAATGACCCTTTCCACAAAGGCTTTAGAACCTGAGCTTTAAAGGGAAACTCCACTCAAAAACAATGTGTGTCCCCCCCCAATAGTCCACTGTCGATACAGTCCCAACTAGCTCAACTAGAGACGTGCTTGAGGTAAACCAAGGTGTATATTTGCATTACTCCAAAATGTGCAACAGATACAGGGGCTATTGAATGATGACCATGCTTGTCTCACTCTCTAGTCATTTCAGGTTATCTTATTAACATGGCTAAAGGTCAGGACTAAGGAGGTGGCTCGTGGCTGGTCTCTGTGGATCATGCTGTCTGGTCACATCACTGAGACCTTCACTAGTCTCTGACACTTTATCAAGTATATTAGCATTTAATCTCACCTGTCTGACTGTCCAAACTGCTCTCATACTGGTGACACAGACATGATGGCCAGGTCTTTCTATACTGTGGCATTTTCTCCCCGGGTCTGTCCCTGGCTGCTGCATTCCTCTGCTATTTTTCCTCAACTCACTCAGATTCTCTATAGTGAATGAATGCTCTATAGAATTGTAATCTCTCCTCTATTCTATTTCCAATGGAACCATGTATCCACCCAGATACCTTTACAGGCACTCAAACTGAATTGTAATTTATTTAATGAATAACTGTGCTCTTATTGGTAGGCCGGGACCTATAACACGTTGTCACTACCCTGCACCAACCGTAGACTTATAAACATGAATCCAGGCTCTTGGGGTGAGTTATTTTTATTTTATTTATTTAATTTCACCTTTATTTAACCAGGTAAGCCAGTTGAGAACAGGTTCTCATTTACAACTGCGACCTGGCCAAGATAAAGCAAAGTAGTGCAATAAAAACAACACAGAGTTACATATGGGGTAAAAAAAAAAACATAAAGTCAGAAATACAACAAAAATAATATACAGTGTGTGCAAATGTAGCAGTTATGGAGGTAAGGCAATAAATAGGCTATAGTGCAGAATAATTACAATAGTATTAACACTGGAATGCTAGATGTGCAAGAGATTATGTGCAAATAGAGATACTGGGCTGCAAAAGAGCAAAATAAATAACAATATAGGGATGAGGTAGTTGGGTGGGCTAATTTCAGATGGGCTGTGTACAGGTACAGAGTTAGGACTCACAGGCTTCTTATTGCGGATACAGCATCTACCCACTGACAGTTGATAGGTTAATTAAAAAATAAAGGTGTCCGTGCACAGCATGCATGTTGTTATCAAAAACTCCCTCCCATTGCTTTATCAGCTGAGGAGGAAAGACAACACACCGACCTTCGACACTAATTTCATCAATTCAGATCCAGACTCAGAATTCCTTGTGGTGTATGAGGTCTACATAAAAACGTTTACCTTTTACTCTTCAGAATCACAACAAAACACACCAACAAACAGGAAAAACTGTTCGAATGAATAGGAAGAACGACCTGAGTGATCTTCAGGTATTTCAGTTACAGGCCTCTACTAAATCAACACCGAAACAGAACGCTAACACGGTTTGGCCCAGGCCAGGAATTGCGAACACAACTCAGCCTGTCGAAAATGATTTGTCTAGCAGCCATTTTCCGACGTCGCTAGTGTCACGGGTTGAATTATCAAGAGTCGAGACATGTTTCTAATCGACGTTACTTTGTTTCAGTTATGTTTAAACATTGTTTAAACGGTTACAAAGTAGCGTCATCCAAGTTTGTTGCCTCGAACAGCCGTCGCAAAAACACATTAACCACATTGGTTTAGCTCAACTCACCCTCTCATCTGGAATAAGCGCTTCGCCATTGCATGCTTTCTTCAAATCCCTTTGTCCAAAGGACGAGTTAAATGTTACTTTCACCATTTTTTAAATCTAAATGTTGGACCAAGTGACGAAATCACCTTCTGCAGGAACGTCTTCGTCTGGTGTCTGATTACAATGACGTTGCTAGATAAACACAAAACAAGCCTGAACCAGTCACATGAGTGATTGCAGCCTCATAGGCTGCATTCAAGAACCTACACGGTTTTACAAACGTTCTTGAACGTTTTTTTCTCCCCACTGGGGAGCAGTACAATCTCAAAAATCTATTTAGTGACAGACAGGCATTTATCATAATGAAATAAAAATGGGCAATTACATTTGACACGAGCGAAACTCAAGGGATCATCATTATTAATAACGTTAGTCTGAGGTTCTAGGCATGCACCAGGCGAGCGAGCACGCGCCTCTGCTGGCCACTAGAGCTCGCCAGCTTGTAGTCCTAAAACCCGGAAATGAGTTACCTCTGCTTCGTTCCGCCATCCCTATGGGAAAAATGACTGACAAAAGAATAGTTTTTGAATAAACGCCAAAAAGAAGGTATGAGGTTAACACAGGTTTAGGAGATCTTATAATAGCAGTTAGTTAACATGAACTTTGTGTATTATGAAACCTTTGTGGGTTTTTTAAAATGTCAAATTCTTCAAAATTCACAAAAAGTGACGTTAGTTAATGAAGAGTATCTCATAGAATAAAATGTATAAAATGTCCTAAGCCCGTATTTACTACACTTTATTTTCGGCATTTATCCAAAAACCCTCCAAAAACGCCATTCATATTCTCCATAGGCTTTGTCCAACGTCGAACCATGGCGGATTATAGTGCCTACAAAAAGACGCCATTGCTATTTCTGTCTATGCAGGTGTCTCATCGCAGGTGCCTGTCCCGTGCAGACCTTCAACACCGGGTTTTCACTGGACTCCGTCTTCTTTTCCAGTTCTCCTGAAGTAGGCTTGCCTAAACTATTTGATTTAGTACATTTTTGCTTTTAAAAATAATAACCATGTATTTTTCAGACGTGTCAAAACTTTGGATTGTTGTCTGCTTGAGAAGCCAGCTGGTTGAAAATGATGCGTGAGGCATCAAATTATGCCTGTTGAATAGGCACAATTAGAGAGGAGGGTAGGTCTATGTTTTTTCATCACGGTTGGTTACTATGAGTGACGGGGAAAAGATGTCTGTAATGGAAAACATGAGGAAAGAAAGAGGACAATTGATATCGAGTCGCCGTTTTACCAGGATAAACTACAACTGTACAAGATGAGCGTTGTTATTTATCTGCTAAACGCATTATCGTGTCAGGAGTATGACAGGTGTTATGTGTTCACATATGACAGCAAATTATAGTGACTAGAAGTTAGTTGATCTTGTGAAATAAAACGGGGGCTAGTCGGGAACTTCTGATTGTCAGAGTTCTCATCCCTCTTCAACACCATGGACGTCGTCGACTACAGAAGCGAGTTAAGGATGTCAGCCAGAGAAGTCAAAGCCTTCCTAGACGCGGACAGATTCACGGCTGTCGGGGACGGGATGCAGGATGATGTTGAATATAGATTTGTGGATGTCCTGCTGTTTGGTGGGGCGCCTTGGGGGTTCACTCTGAGAGGGGGTCTGGAGCACCGAGAACCACTGCTCATAACCAAGGTACATATCTATCTATCTATCTATCTATCTATCTATCTATCTATCTATCTATCTATCTATCTATCTATCTATCTATCTATCTATCTATCTATCTATCTATCTATCTATCTATCTATCAATGATGATTAGGAAGAAGAAATACATTCAGAGAAGCCTTGTTGACTTCACTTTAGCCACACTAGTTAACAACAAATGTGCAAACAAACAACAATAACAAGTACCAAATATCAATCATGCAAATATTTTTAAAAAAAATGTATTTATTTCTCCACTGTTATGGATGGATTTCACATTTCCTGTTTCACCTGATATGAAAATAAGGCTGTGTGGAGATTAAACACTGGAACATCAATATAGTTTCCTGATTGGTTAACTGCTTGTGTTCCATCAACACTCACATGTTTTCTCGCTCCAGAAATAGTTGGGGCTGTCTCCACACCTTTATGCCTTTGGTATGTTGCACATTTTCACCTTTAAACTTCTGCCCTGGCCAATATCTTGAGCACATCTCCACTAGTCACCACTAGTTTTGTTCTATGTGTGTTTGGAGGGGGCTGTGGCTGTCTTCCATACTCATCATAGCAGTACCAGGAACCAGTGAGGAATGCAGAAGTGAAGATAATGTGTGTTTGGCTGTGGATGACCAGGATTGGCTCAGTCATTGCTGCTCTCCAACAGAATGAGGAAACAGTTAGTTTATCTGTTTCCATTCTCCTCCCCTCTCCTGTACTCCTGTATGTGTAGAGAATAAGTGATGGAATGTGCAACAAGTCTACTCCAACCGTTCTCAAGTTGCTTATGGTTAAATGTTTTATCAGAGCTCTCAGGTTGCCACAGTATAATTCTTCCAGTGCAGGCTGGACACAATGGACTCAGCACGGATCCATGGTTACTGGCCACCATCTCTTACAGGGATTGGGTTTGCACCATAACGCCATATTGCTTGTGTTCTCCAGCTGTTCGTCACTTTCAGAAGCTACACAAAATAACAATCCATCCTGTTCATTTTAGATTATATAATTTACAAATACAAAATTGTACATCTCATAGTACTTTGTGACTTGCTCCCTTTGCTTGTCAGTAGTAGACTAGTCCCCCTCTGAACGTTGAGACAGGGCTGGAGAGAGGGGATTTGGAAGGGTGGATATGATGGAACCATTTTTAATGAATTTGACTCAACGCCAGCATGGCAGGGTTGAAGAGAGGGTCCTGTCAACACAGTCTCAGTGGATGGAATGTGACATTCTTCTAAACTGATGAACGATGGAAAGTGAACTGTTATTAAAATATACTTCACTAATGAGACATTAAGTCTGACATGTTATTTTATTCACGTCACTATCAGACAGCATCCCTTGAATGGGCCTCCGTTTTCCCGGCCAACACTATCTGTGTGCAATTGTTTCTTATACTCTTCACTTCAGAAATGTTACCAGTCCCAAAATCTCCAAATTTGCCCCAGTATGTTATAACAGTTTTATTAATGATGTATAAACTACAGTACGTTTGAACTGTCTATAAACTGCTTATAAACACCTTAATGAAACATTCCTGTTGTGTGATTCAGGTGGAGGAGGGTAGCAAGGCGGCGACGGTCAGCCTGCAGGTGGGAGATGAGATCGTCAACATCAACACAGTTCCCATCAGTGGATCCAGGCAGGAGGCCATCTGTCTGGTTAAGAGCTCCCACAAGACCCTCGCCCTGGTCGTCAGAAGGTAGGCAATGAGCTGCAACTAAATTGCCCTTACACACATGCACAATACATTTCTATTGGATTGAATATGACCGACATTGAATAAGAATACAATACGGGATGTCTCAATGGGCCCTATCATAGACTGATTCTTGGGTACCATCTCTCCCATTGTGCTGAGAAGAAGTGCCCTGTGTTTAAAATGGTATATATCCCACTTACAGATGTGCATTCATATTTTCGTTTTATCTGAAACTGACACACAATATGAAATGCAGCACACCAGAGTTGGGCATATCAGGGAGAAAGTTTTTTGTTCAAGTGACTCAGGCTAACCTTAACCCACACAGACACTGTCTTGGAAACAAGAGGAGGTACATTTATTTGCATTTTAATGAGGGAAATAAGTATTTGACCCCTCTGCAAAACATGACTTAGTACTTGGTGGCAAAACCCTTGTTGGCAATCACAGAGGTCAGACGTTTCTTGTAGTTGGCCACCAGGTTTGCACACATCTCAGGAGGGATTTTGTCCCACTCCTCTTTGCAGATCTTCTCCAAGTCATTAAGGTTTCGAGGCTGACGTTTGGCAACTCGAACCTTCAGCTCCCTCCACAGATTTTCTATGGGATTAAGGTCTGGAGACTGGCTAGGCCACTCCAGGACCTTAATGTGCTTCTTCTTGAGCCACTCCTTTGTTGCCTTGCCGTGTGTTTTGGGTCATTGTCATGCTGGAATACCCATCCACGACCCATTTTCAATGCCCTGGCTGAGGGAAGGAGGTTCTCACCCAAGATTTGACGGTACATGGCCCCATCCATCGTCCCTTTGATGCGGTGAAGTTGTCCTGACCCTTAGCAGAAAAACACCTCAAAGCATAATGTTTCCACCTCCATGTTTGACGGTGGAGATGGTGTTCTTGGGGTCATAGGCAGCATTCCTCCTCCTCCAAACACGGCGAGTTGAGTTGATGCCAAAGAGATCCATATTGGTCTCATCTGACCACAACACTTTCACCCAGTTCTCCTCTGAATCATTCAGATGTTCATTGGCAAACTTCAGACGGCCCTGTATATGTGCTTTCTTGAGCAGGGGGACCTTGCGGGCGCTGCAGGATTTCAGTCCTTCACGGCGTAGTGTGTTACCCATTGTTTTCTTGGTGACTATGGTCCAGCTGCCTTGAGATCATTGACAAGATACTCCCGTGTAGTTCTGGGCTGATTCCTCACCGTTCTCATGATCATTGCAACTCCACGAGGTGAGATCTTGCATGGAGCCCCAGGCCGAGGGAGATTGACAGTTATTTTGTGTTTCTTCCATTTGCGAATAATCGCACCAACTGTTGTCACCTTCTCACCAAGCTGCTTGGCGATGGTCTTGTAGCCCATTCCAGCCTTGTGTAGGTCTACAATCTTGTCCCTGACATCCTTGGAGAGCTCTTTGGTCTTGGCCATGGTGGAGAGTTTGGAATCTGATTGATTGATTGCTTCTGTGGACAGGTGTCTTTTATACAGGTAACAAGCTGAGATTAGGAGCACTCCCTTTAAGAGTGTGCTCCTAATCTCAGCTCATTACCTGTATAAAAGACACCTGGGAGCCAGAAATCTTTCTGATTGAGAGGGGGTCAAATACTTATTTCCCTCATTAAAATGCAAATCAATTTATAACATTTTTGAGATGCGTTTTTCTGGATTTTGTTGTTGTTATTCTGTCTCTCACTGTTCAAATAAACCTACCATTAAAATTATAGACTGATCATTTCTTTGTCAGTGGGCAAACGTACAAAATCAGCAGGGGATCAAATACTTTTTTCCCTCACTGTATGTAAACTTCCGACTTCAACTGTATTTGTGGAGACAATGTTTATGGCCTCAGGGACTGTGTATTGGTGCAACTCTAACCACTGACATGCATAGGCAGGACTGTCATTATACTATACACGTGTCATTCATAGAACATTGCTTGGTCATAAAGTACAGGATACCTTAGTTTGAACTGGAGGAGTGGAATGCTAACTGATCATTACTAAACCACAAAGGGCAGGGCCACAGGTTGTTATGGTTACACTAGGACTAAGTATGAACTTCACTTTTTTACACTCTTTCATCCGTGATATCTGCTATGCATCTACCCAACAGGGAAGGGATGCAGGACATGGCATATATTATGTGAGCAAACTAACCCCTTCACACAACAGTGAGAGAAAGCCAGTGTAGAGAACATTGAAGACCGCCCTATAGGGGAAGGAATGCTCTGAACTTTGTGGCTTGTTCATAAAACACATTCTCACACATTCTCTGGTAGGTGTGAAAGTGTCAATGCCAGCAAATATCTCCTTCGTTCATTTACGACCAGACTGCTCCATAGCGAATGGTAGGCTCTGAACATGGGGTGGGATGTGATGTGCGTAATCTCATTATGGTCCCGTGTGGCTCAGTTGGTAGAGCATGGCACTTGCAACCGCCAGGGTTGTGGGTTCGATTCCCATGGGGGATAGGTACAAACAGAATATGAAAATGTATGCACTCACTACTGTATGTCGCTCTGGATAAGAGCGTCTGCTAAATGACTAAAATGGCAATGAAAAATATATTGTCTGAGCTCCAAACGCTGTTAAACAACCACCGATGGGTGACATGTGAAGAAGGAAAAGATGATACACGGTTTGAAGCTGTGGGAGGATGGGTGGAGGTGTCTAGGCCTATGAGAGTGCCACGATACCAGGATTTTGACTTCGATACCAGGTTTAGTATCACAATACTCAATACTAGGGGTGTGCCGACCTGGCCAAACTCATATTCGTGATCGTATCCGTAATTTGACAGTTAATAGTCCGATCGGATCAGATGATACTCGTGATCGGCAAAAACTGAAGTGTTTTAATATATGCCTAAGTAGATGTCAAAATACCTATCTCCCTGCACGTTTATAGACCAAACAAGTGTGTGTCTGTGTCCTTAACTTCTAACGGGCCGGGCAGAAAAAGTTTGCTGTCACTCAGTCAGAGAATGCGCATCGGCGATTCATCTTTTTGTTCCCTACCCTCGTCCCGCTTGTTAGATATTATGCACATTGATAGCTTGCTAGCTAGCCAACGTCCTCGCCATTTGATTTATCCCAGTAGCAGGCAAACAGGAGGCAGCAGCAATCTAAATGATCAGACTGAAACATGCGAGGAGAAGTGATCAGTGAAATTATGAAGTGAAGCGAGTGGATGGAGAAATACAGATTCACTCTATCCAAGCAGAGCAGCAGGATCAACGTACAGCCCTCCATTCTCTTTCCAGACAGGCAAACTAGCTAGTTGAGTTATTTAGTCCGCGTAGCACCTTGCGCTTGATTGAAAGATGCGTGCTGCCACCCAAATGTGATTTTATTAGATTACGGATCATTACGAAAAATACTTTGAGCCTAATCGTATCAGGAAAATGTCCCATATCCGTTACGATGCTAATTTTGTCCGACTACTCGGCACAACCCTACTCGATACTATCACAATACTCGATACCAAAACAATACCACATAAAAAAAAAGAAGGCAAAAGTCACGGAATGGCACTTGATACAGACAGATAAACAAAACAATTATATAATACATTTGACTTTGTTTGACTACATAACAACATAATGGTAATCATTTATTTGAATGTTAAATCTCTATTGATAAACTGGGTAATTCAAGATTGAGCTTGTTATGGCTGATTTCATTGTGCTGCAGATGACAATCTGTTTCCCTTCCATTTATTGTACTGATCAACAACATTTGCATAGAAGTAGCATATTTTATAAAAGTGCTCTTTAAAAGTCTCTTTAACCAGTAATGACGTCATTCATTAGGCAAGAGGGGGGCGGCCGTCAGAGCCCTATTCTCACACATACACACAGTCGTTGAGAGACGTTGTTTTAAGTGAATTAATTAAGTTTTGGTGGCAATTTGCTTTGAAATCAGCATATTTTGCATTATGGTTTGCATATTATCACAAAGTACCAGAGGGTAGTGAATGGATGTTAGCTTCAGCTGTAAGCTAGAAAGGGAAGTTAGCCTACAAAGCTGGAAGCTACTGGTATCTTCTTGTATTGTAAAGCGTTCTAGCCTATATGGACGTTTTGTGAACAGTAATTGACAGTTTCAACATTTCTAGCTACATGCCATGACACATTATTCAAGTGTGTTAACTTCTGTGCAACATGAGTGGGGAGCTAACATGAGCTACCCGCTCAGACTCCCAGTGCAGGCTGTGGAGCAGACACGGTGTGCTCGCGCTATGAAGGAGTCCGCACGCTTCACAGCCGAAACCGTTTCGGTGGAGTTCGGGCATATATTATGACGACATTTTGTGATGTTTTGGATTTAGGTAAGTTTTTTTTTTTAGGCTGTTCGGGCACAAAACATTTTTTCTGGAGGCAAGCCGAAGTTCGGAGCCGAAGTATACGCCCCTTCATCGACGATTGGTCAACAGGAGGGATTCTTCAATAAAGTCTTTGTTGTCATTCAATGAGAGACTACTCGTTTTCATGCACATTCTTCACTGAAAAATACTGCACCAAACATCTTAGTTAGATGTAAAATCTTTGGGAAAAAACATCAATAATTAATGACAGATTTCTTGAGTTAGATTAATTCAGACTATTTTGAGGAAGTGTATTACTGGCTATGGCTTCTCAAAATGGACAAACAGTACTATTGCCGCTTTCTTTCTCATTTTTCAAGTGAAGGTCTTTTAATGGATAATGCGAGCACACTCTCATTCGGTTCGACTAGCCGCCAGCCAAACTGAAGCATGCTGACTCCTTAAGGGGGACATCAGCTGTGCTGATAGACAGACTTGATCCGTGAGACACATTTGACAGAAGTACTGAAAGTAACAAATTCTAGTACCGAACCGTTTTTCATGTTCTAGTATCGAAAAGGTACAGAAGTTTCGGTATACCGTGCAGCACTAATATATAGTGCCTTGGGGGGTGTATATTTACAATAGAAAAGCCCCAGTGTTGTGGTTTTCTCATGCTCCTCTGGCTGGCTGTCTGGGTCTGTGTCCTAAATGGGAACCTATTCTATAGTGCAATACTTTTCACGAGGGCCTATAGGGCTCTGGTCAAAAGTAGTGCACTGTATAGGGAATAGGGTGCCATTTGGGATGCAAACTAGGTTGTACACAGTAGAAATACTGCCCATGTCATGGCTTAGGAAGGGGGGCAGCAAGTCCTATACAGACTGACTGGGCCTCCCTTCTCATTGGCTGAGGAAGACAATGGGCCCATTGTCCAGACCTCTCTATCTCTCTCTCTGTCTGTGTGTCACGGCTGTTATTTCAGGTTAGATAATGACTCTTAAACGGCACAGAGGAGTATCTGGGGTGTAGGGGACAAGGATAGGGGCAGAGAGAGAGATGCCAAGTTTCGAAACATGGCGGACCTTTAGCCCACTTCACCTTGGCTCTCTGTCATCATCAGACATCACTCTGTCCAGAGACACCCATCGGTTCTGTTTCCCTTATGCTTCTTAAACATTTAAATCACATTGACAGACCCTTGATCATTCTGACTTTCAGCTCCGACTGCCCCACTACAGGTCAAACCCTTACTCATTATGACTCATTCATTACTCAGGAATGTTACCCTTTCAATGCCAAATGACAATGTTTTCTGAGATGACTTGGCCATTGAAAGTACACATTAATTTACGCACATCAATTATGTTACTTGCGCACATTTCAAGCGCTATAGCGGCATGTGAGGCTTATCAGTCGGCCACAAACACGTGATATACACTAGCTAGCCCATGACACCATTAGAGACGGGACCGCGGAAACAAAAGGGGAACCATTTTCCATGTGAGTGCACCCTGTCAATCACACAAAGAGGGCCAGTTAGGGACATTGTTTGGGGAGCCAGGGCCAACCAGCGCTCTGTCCGAGGGGCTTTGTCTGGATTCCAAGGGCCTGGCTGGCTGGTCTAGCTGCCTGGCTGTGGCTGTGTCGTTGGGTCTTTCTACGTCAGGGACAGCTGGCGGTGGTAGGGGACCGTCACCACTCAACAGGCAGGGCCCCTGTGTGTGAAAAGACCACTGTGTGTGTGTGTGTGTGTGTGTGTGTGTGTGTGTGAATAGACCATAGCCAAACTGCCAACCTGCTGCGTTTTGGCACCCACCAGTAACTAGCTAATGACAATATGCTGGTCTAGAAGGCATGCAGAGTATTCATAGGTGAATTCTTTGTGGACCCCCTGTGGATTTGAGACATTAATGGGGGCCAATGATGGATCAACCCTGATTGATTTAGGCGTCCAGTATTGAATTTCCTCAATCAGATATTCACACCTCTGTATTGTATTCTGCTGTTAATGTGATTTCCTCTCTCCGGACTCTGGTCTTCTATACTCCCTGCTGCTAACCAGAACAAACAACTCCAGAAAGGATGGGATCAGTAGAAGAGGCACAACAACATGCCATCTAGTGGACGAAGTTGCTTTTTTATATGTAATATAAGCCTAGTGAATTCACGTAATTCCCAATGCTCTTTGAAAATCGGAACGTTTTTTATATGTAGTCGAATTTCCCTCTCTTGTGGTTTTTGTGTTCTTATAAACATGTTTTTTTTTTCTGTTCAAGTGTGTTGTAGTACAGTAGGCCACACTTGAGGCATATACTTGCATAAAACAAACTGATAAAACATAATAAAAAAATTTAACCTGAATCCCAATTAAATATGTTCTAGTAGTTTAGTGTAAACGCATGCCTCATAACATCATACAAGGTCCCTGCTGACTGGCTCCTGCGTCTTAATGCCTGAATCCTATTACAACCTGTAAAGCCACAGGCATGGACTCACTCAGCTTAGAGAGAGGGCAAAGTAGTAAACTGTAAAAGAAAAAAGGTGGGAATTGACTGATTGTAACAGGTAAAATCTTATGCAAATCCTGTACGAACCAGTGTAAAATAATATGCTTTATTTCTGGTGTAGACTCCATAGTTTTTGGAGTATCTGGATAATACAATAAAATACTATCTGACTCTTTTAATGTGTTGTAGATTTAGCCTCCCCCCTCTTGGTGTGGAAAGTGGAATGTTCCATGTTGCCTAGGTGAGTTGACATTGCTCGTTGGGATAGGCTGTCCCACTAGAGCTCATTGTTTTCATCAGCTCTGCTTTGGGAAGGCAGTGTAGTCAAATGAGGACAGCCAGGCTCTGGGGGTGGTTGCTATTGTATCTCCCTTGATATGCCTGGCTTGAGAGGGTAGGAACAGGACTTCACTGAAGACATCATTTCAGGTATGCTTTTCTCTGTTATTCACTGTAATGGTAAGAGTAAGAGTTATCTAGAAGTGAGACTCACAGGACAGTGAGGACACTGAAACTATCTGCTGTAAAGCTTATCTTTTAGGAGTCTTAGCGTTTCAAAAATAGTATTTTGGTGGTGTATTTTGCTGCACAATGACAATTGTCTATATTGCTTTATTGTTCGCTATGTCACACTGAAGTTTTTTCTTCTTCCATTTGGAAGATTTGAAAACGGGGTTGCTGACAGCCAAAATAAAACAAGCACGTCTTTTCAACTTTTCCTCAACTTTTAATTTAATTGGGCTGTGTGGTTAAATGATCCTTTAGGAGGTCTCGTATAGTCAACCTAAACATGTGAGGAGTGAGAGGAAGATCCTATAGTGTTTACTCTGTCAGGCAGGGAGTCTCCCATCCTTCAAGCAAAGCCCTGGATTAACACTGAGCCATTAACATGTCAGTGAGGGCCTCCTCTCCCCTCCCACACAAAGACAAACTGTTCTTCTCTAGAGTAAGCATTTACTCTGAGACCGACACTTGACCGTTTTGGGGTGACTTTATCAGATCTGTGTTCGTACATATTAGGCCATCAGTCTGTTGTTCCAGATGTCTTTGTAGAATGAAGGTAAAGAGGACTGGTCATCGTCCCTATTCCACAAACTATACACACTATTTTACAGGCTGGTATCTGAACCCTGTAGGAACAGAACGGCATGTAGCGTTGGTGTGGAGCCTGATGCTGAGGTATCCTCTCTGGAACCAGCCGATAAGCCCAGCTTTGATTACGCTGGCACTTTTTCTATTGTGTTGCTTGTTTCATTCAGCCTCCATTTAAAGGCCAGACACCAGGCAGCGGGGCTCAGTGGTCCTAGCCATAGCAGGGCACACTGCCTGATTCTGTTTTGGGTTGGTTCTCCTGTCCAGCAAGGTGGTGATTCAGCAGTTCTACGTCCTTATTAGAGTCACTGGTTTTTCACTGGTTAAATGAACCAGTTGGAAATAGCTCTTCTCTTTAGAAATGTTTACTCTTATTTTAAACTGGGATTGATTGTGTCTAGGGACCTGCAGTGTTTGGGTTTACATACCTCAACCGCCAACCCCTCGCCATTCTGGAACGTAATGGTGGAGTATCTGTCAATGAAGTTTTTTCTTTGACTGCAGAACTAAACAATATCTACTGGACCTTTTCTTTTCCCTCTGTATCAAGTTGCTGTGTTTTCCACCATGACTGGTATCATTCAGATAGAGTTATCTTGGCCTTGTCATTGTGGCGTTCACTAACGAGAGAGAGAGAGAGTACTATCAGTTGTTTTAATGTATTCTTCTCTCCATTGTCAGCTGACCTATGATTCCGTTCATTAAGTAGAGAGTTCTGTCTCGTCACTGCGATACAGCATAGATTCCAAGGGCAACTGTGTGGTGCACAGTTGTTGGTTGCCAATGACCTGTTTTGTAATGCTGTCTTCAAATCAGCTTTACAGATTCCTCTGGAATTGGAACTGTTTAAAACGAATGTCCAAGCTAACTGCAATTAGGTGAAACCCTGTTGATTGTCTCATGCCAGGACTAATATAGACTAATATAGACAGTGTGTGTGTGTGCTGACTGATGAGGCAAGCAATCTTACTTTTTCAACTCCATGCGAGTGGTTAATGGGCCGTGAGCCAATGAGAAAGCCCCATAGACTGATCTACAGCAAGGACACTGGGCATGACTAACCCTGGCCCCTCCCCTCCCGAGGTAAATCCCCATACTCCCCTAGGAAATCTCCTATTGACTACAACACTGGGAGGAGGACACACTTGTTGGAGCCACACTAAGGTGGAGTGTCAGTCAGTGTGTGTTCGTGTGGGTGAAGTGTGAGGTAGAAGAGCGCTGTGGTTGGACTAATGCAGCAGAAGTTATGGATGTGGAGGATTCCTTTGCACAGATAGCTGCTTTGCCAAAGAAGCTTTAATGGCTGCACGGGGTCTGTATAAGTGCCTTGTCCATCATTGAAGTGTCTTAAAGGAATGCACTGAGTAGAAAGGCTCTGAGGAGAGGAGCAGTCATTTTCAGCCTGCTTTATCAGTGCTCTCTGAGATGCTGTTATTTGCTAAAAGAGAGTGCATCTGAAATGCCACAGCAAGATTGATAATTATTTGGTAAGTTTTCTTTGATTTCTACTTATTAAGCTCATTGGACTTCCCTGTATCTCATCCGTCTCCCTATCTAATGCTGGGTCAACTCCACGCCGAGCGACTTATAATTTGGTTTCAATAAATCTCTTCTTTCAGTTTGAAATGCTAATTCACTCCATGTGTATTTACAAAGCTTTCCTCTTGATTTATTCTGGATTTATCTAAGCCTAAAGTTTAGGTTACACTTTTCACACTTGCTGCCTGCATAGCCTAGATATTCACACCCAATTGGGTCAGTTTCGCTACTGTTTGTTTTCGAATGTCGTTTTCACTGAAACCGGAGGAGGATTTTCTGAAACTAGCCCCAACGTCTCCTCCTCCTCCTCCTCCCTTCTGGGTAGCTGTGGCAGTTCAGCTGTAGCCTTGACAATAAGGACTCCTGACTAGAATGTCAATTTGCATTTCTATTGTGAGCTCTGTTAGGGTTCTGTTAGGGCAGCATATCGCTCTCAGGACCACTGACTGACTGGAGGAGGGAGGGAGTGTGTGTGTGCGTGCGTGTGTGCGTGACACGCTCTCTTTCTTTATGCTGCTTCTTATTGAGGAGGAGAGCTTCTCAGGTTGCCCTCTACCTCCCTCCCATAAATTAGCTTGACTCCATGAGCCAAGTGCCAGAACTTTTGGAAGATTGCCATCATTGATGTCCCACTTCAGACTGAGCTCCTTTGGGGTTGGCTGCCAAGCAAAATACATCTTCACATTCCTTTGGCCCCATGATGGAATGTAGGAGTCTTGTATCGTAGATCAGAGAGGTTAAGGATTTGAGTGGGTGGCTCTTAGCCTTACGCTTATACAGTATCTGTAGTCTACAATATGTCGCTCTTGTCTTGTCTAGTCCGTTCTGGTCGTGCCAACCGGGTTTGGGTCACAGGGTGAAGAATAGGGACTGAAAATGACATGTTGGACCATACCTGGGTTCAAATACTATTTGATATCATTTCACATTCTTTATCTGGGCTTGACTGAGCTTTCCTGGCACAATGGAACCAATAGAATAGTTGTAAAAGTGCAAATCCCACCCATCTGGCACTCCAGACAGGCTAAAGCAAACACTAAATGTATTTGAAATAGTATTTGAACCCAGGTTTGTGTTGAACAGACGCCAGCTTGGACATAGTGTGAAACCACTGATCTCATCTTTCTAATTGATTCAAAGGCTAAGCCTCCGCCTACACCATGCTGTTTACACTCAAGGGATCTCTCAGTCTGTCGCCATACAGCCATATGGCAGTGGGATGACCACCAGACAGACCATGTTAAAGGTCATTTCTATTCTGTCTAGTGTTGTTCTTCTAAATAACAAACAGATATTTCTCATAGATTACTACTGCAATGGTGGTTTCCTCTTGCGTTTTGAGGACTGATTCATCAAACGTCTTAGAGTTGACCTAATGAACTACTAATTATTAAGGTCTGTCACTCATGTTACATACCATTCAATGTACAATGAATATCAAGCATACATCTCTTATTGGCCAGAAAGGAGTGCACAGTTCTCATTGGTCAGTCACTGACAGTATACTGAGGATAGGTCCTTCAGTCCTTTGTATCTCAGTTGGTAGAGCATGGCTCTTGCAACGCCAGTGTTGTGGGTTCGATTCCCACAGGGGACCATTATGAAAGAAATATGAAATGTATGTGCTCACTATTGTAAGTCGCTCTGGATAAGAGCGTCTGCTAAATGACTAAAATGATAGTGACCAGGGATTTGTTTTTGGATTTTGACAATATGTTATGTGTTCCTCCTCTGCTGCCTGCCCAGGAAAATGAAAATGGTGGATATTGTCTCACAGACCACCATGCCATCAGAATCAGAAACTGACATACATGTGGCCAGGAACTTTCTCACCAAGATATTACGAAGTTCCATGAGGTATTGTGGAATAGCAACCTCCTCCAGTACACTAGCTATCCCAAACCGATCCTTCAATGATCCCTTGTGACTTTCAATGTTTGAACCCAATCCCACTCCTTTGTTGATGTCACCCATTGCATCCCAGTTTCCAACATGTATGGTACTGTAGCTGTCTGTGGTCCTTGTGTATGTGTCAGATTTGTTTGGTGAAGGCTTCACATTTTATCCCATCTGTCTAGGTCTTCTATCTTCTACACAATTTAATGTAAAAAAAGAACATTTCCACATCAGATTGGTTTTTGTAGTAGTTTCTTGTTTTTACTGAATTACATATTTTTGTTACCTCTCTCCAACATGCATATCAGGAAGAACCGCTTCAAGGGGTGAGACTGAAATGAGAAAGCATTGTTTGTCTGTTACCTTCTATTTTTTAATAAGATGCATTTCAATAACATGCTTTCCTTAACCTTCTCCCTGTAGGAGGAATGAACCAGTCTCCCGGCCCCATTCATGGCACTCCTCCAAGTTCACAGAAGACCACCCCGAACCCACAGAGAGTCACATAGAGCCTCCACCTGCACCTCTACCTCCACCTGTGTGGCAGGTCAAACATGAAGTCAGGTGAGCTGCTGGAAGAATCTATGACCTCCTTCGCCTAGTGACAATGTTACACAGACACTGCCCTTTAGGGTCTTCACATTTCCTAAAGAAAGGTCCGAGCTACATTCAGAGAGTTTATGGTAACTCCATCTCAGAGGTAGGGGCAACCATTATTTTTATGGTGTTGTTCTCATCTCCAGTCATTGAATACACATATCAAAGTAGGTCAGTTATCAAAGAACAAGAAAACACTGAATAAAAGCATAATAAATGATCATAAAACCTAATCAAAATCTAATTAGCTACTGCTAACCAGATTATTAACACATTTTCTTGTATTTATTTCTAGTGCATCCGCAAAAGACCTTTCCAGCAGTGGGGACCACAACTCTAATCTACGCCAGTTATCCAGCCAGTTCAGCTCGGTGGGGAATATGGAGAGAGTAGAGCGCCCCTCACACCCCTACCCACCAGGATGCCTCTCCCCCAGCAGGTACCACCGCAGCGCTGAGCCTCTCTCTGGCGGTGGAGGGTCTGGTGGGAAGAGAGAATCAGCCTTCAGCTGTCTCTCCTCTACCAGCCCTCCCCCGGAGCCTGCTCCGGACCTAGACAACACTAACACTGCTGGGACTGAGGGCAGCATGTTCTATAAGGGGGTCCAGACTCAGAGCAGTGAGGGGGGAAGGCAGGGGGAGCAGCGCCACAGCCGGTACCTCCAGCTGCACCAGGGGGACGGAGGCTCAGAGAGCCCCAGGACAGTCCCAGAGGAGCAGCCTGGCTCCCGCTACTCCAGCTCAGGCTCTGGCAGATCGCACATAGGCCCTGTGTGGCACGTCCCAGAGAGGAGGAAGGTAGCAGCACCCCCCTCTCCTCCTCCTCCTCCCCTGCGCAGTGACAGCTTTGCTGCCACCAAGGTGTACCCTGCCTACACAGAGGGGCCTGGAGCTCCACCACACGGGCAGATGAAGGCCCAGGAACGAGGGGTGGACAGGTTGGCTGAGGCCCCAGAGAACAGCAGCTACAGAGGCCGGGGGCACCATATCTCTCATTACTCTCACAATGAGAACGGGCCAGACCACAGGTGCAGTTACAACCCTCCACCCCACAAGAAAGACTTCCTCCACCCAAACATAGCAGCAGGAGCACCTGACTACAACCACAACCAGCTCAGCCACCCAAACAAACTGTTCTCGCTGTCTAGCCAGGACGTGAGACAGAGTCAGTCTCCCTTCGCTTGCCTGCCCAACCACCAGCGGCAGTACAGCGACGAAAGCACTTTCTACCTGCAGACCAGATCCACCCCACATCCACCGAAGCCGCAGAGCGTCGGTAGCTACTACCACAGCCTCCAGGAGCTCCCTACCAACCTCTGTAACAGCAGGAACCACGTAAGGTCCTCCACCGCGTCCCTGTCCACCTCGACCATCGACCAGAACTATGACGGCGGAGGACACATCAGGTACTACTGCATCACAACCAAGCAGCCAGCCCAGCCAGAGACTCGTGTTAGACAGAGCAAAGCAGAGGTCTGGAGGGCTGACATGGAGCTTGCTAAGGGGTCCAACGACAGTGGCTCCACAAGTTCCTCCCACAAGACCAACAAGGTCAAGTATCCTCCTCATCCTCAGCAGCCTTACGCCGACAGCAACAGCAAGGAGCGGAACGGAAATTTCAAACCGGACAACGTTCTGCTTTATGAGCACACAGCCTCCAGTTCCTTATCTGGTAAACCTACCACTGAGGAGAAGGAGAGGGAGAGGAGGAGTGAGGGGCAGAGACCTTCTACAGAGGCTCAGCTTAGAAGCTCTTACTCTCCCAGTCCGCACAAGGACCACAAGGCGGCACCACTGAGAGAAGACCCTTGGGTCACTCAGGAGAACCATAAGATCTCTTCTCAAAAGACACCCATGCTCCACAGTCTGTCTCAGGAGAGTAGAAGCCTAGTTCAGGAGAGTAGGAGCCCCATGCTTCATTCTCTATCCCAGGAAAGTAAGAGCCTGGTGGAGAAGAATCACCCTGCTATGGCACCACCACCACCATCCAACGGCGGGGGAGACAACAACCACCCCATACAGGAGGCTTTAACGGACAACACGGCAACGGGCAAACTGGCGAGACGCAGCGACCGATACGCCACCACCCTCCGCAACGAGATCCAGCTAAAGAGGGCCCAGCTGCAGAAAAGCCGGAGCGCGGCCACCCTGACCTGCCCCAGCGAGACGGAGGAGCCAGAGGAGGAGGAGACAGACCCGGGTGGGTGGAAGTCCACCTCCACCTCCTCCTCCGACGGCTCCTTTTCCTCCTCCTACAAGGACCACCTCAAGGAGGCGCAGGCTAGGGTCCTCCAGGCCACGTCCTTTAGGAGGAGAGACCTAGAACCTCCCGGTTCAGGGTCGGAGGCTCAGTTAACCAAACCCAACTCACACATAGTCTCCCGCATCGGCGGCCGCAAGCGTTTCCCTCTGAACAAGAGGGTCCACTCGTTCTCCGAGCCAGACAAGATCAACAAGCTGGGAGTGGAGGGTGAGGGAGAACTTCCCGTTGGAACAGCACGGTCATTTGTAGACCGGCGGAAGTTCTTTGAAATGGCTGCTAAACCTGCCTTCTGCAGACCCATCTCAACCATCCACAAGTCAGGCCAGCAGAGCTCCAGCACCACCTCCAGCACTGGGGAGCACGGAGAGAGCAAGGCCAGAGGGAGAGCCCACTCAGGGGACACTGAGGAGGGCTGGAGGCCGGGCCTGGACAGTGAGAACTCCAGTGACCAGCACCCAGACCCCCTCAGCCCCGCAGGCAGACAGGCCCTACTGGAGCAGCAGAGGCTGGGGACCTTCGCTGAATACCAGGTCACCTGGAACATGCAGAGGAAGGCTCCAGACACAAAGACCCAGGGGAGGTACCACTCTGCCGAGAACATCCTGGACCAGGGAACAGAGGAGACGCCTGTCTGTGTCCATGAGAGGTCCAGATCATCTCCCTCACAAGACTTCTACACACAGGTGAGCGTTTCCATTGAATGTCTCTTAGTGTAGTGGTAGTAAAGTGAGCTGCATGACTTCCTTAGCGTTAGCACAGACATGCATGACTTCCTTAGCATTAGCACAGACATGCATGACTTCCTTAGCATTAGCACAGACATGCATGAGTGTGTTTATAGATATAACAGTCCACTTTAGAATGTCTAAACATTAAACCAGCGGACCAGAGTGCTGTTTTAGTAGAAGGTTATATTGGGCCAGCTATATTATGGCATGGCGAGACCAATATTTCATAAATGAGACCTTGCAGAGGACCAATTGTAATTCGGTGTATTCCTCATTTTATTTCAGAAGATCCCTGTGCCATGGAGAGACTCTGTTGAAAAGCCGTATCTGGATCACAGACAGGACCAGCAAGGAGGCAGTTGCACCACCAGGTGAGCATTCCACATTATTCTCTTCTCCATTCTAGTTTCTGTTCTCAGATCAGTTACAACCTATCCACCTATTGTTGGAACACATTTCAAGGTGATATTGATCTAGTACTCTGTTGACGGTGCAGTAACGTACATCCACATGTACATGAGTGTGTACTATAGTATAATAACAATAGCAGTTTGAGTTAGGGTAGGTGGGTAGCATGCCAGTTCAGCCCAGGGGCAGTTTTCAGGTGATCAGGGTTTGGGAGGGACCTGCCCTGCCCAGGTAAAGCTAAAAGTGTAAACCAATCCTGTTTCAGGCTATCACAGTCAACTCCGGTCTCAGGTTGTAAACCCACTCGTTGCTCCCTGGGTGTTATTACAGAGATTAGTTAATATTTTTTGTCTGTTTATAAAGAATATATACAGTAAGGGCTGAATTCGTGATAATAAAATGTATAAATCAATTCAGAAAGGACTCTGCTCCTCATTTCAGTTGAAATGTGCTTAGTGTGAGTATGTTGTTGTCTTCGATTTGCCTCTCCTGTTCTGTTTGACAGAGGGCAGAGCGAGAGCCGAGACAGAGAGCAGCCCGACCAGTTCCCACAGCCTCCACAACCGTCTATTCCAAGACTGACGGACACAGAACCACAGAGCAGCAGAGACGTGGCCACCCCCACCCCCCTCCCTCTCCCTCACCCCTCTGACCACCGACACAAACGTGACTCTGCGGACCCCGCCCACAACCTCCCCGCTCTCCCCCCGTACCCCTCCAACCACACCCACAGCTCTGTGTTTGAGCAACCACCACCACCACCACCTCCAACGCCTGCTCCCAAGCCCCAGAATACAGGCCTCATCATCATGCCACATTGGCCTCTCCTAGGCCTGGAAACCTCCTCAACCACATCCTCCTCCTACGGACACTCTTCCCAGGAATTCCTGCCTGGTCCTGGCTCCCATCAAGCTGACCCAGTAGAACCATCATCCAGCAGCATCTGCTCTCCCCACGGCACAGAGCTGGATCCTGCCCCAAACCAAGCCTCCTCCTTGGGCTCCACCCAGCTCCCCTCTCCCACCCCGGGGAGAACCGCTGGACTGGACACAGAGGAGGAGGAGGGAGCAGCTGATTCAACACTAGAGCCACCCTCCTCCTCCTCTTCCCACTCTCCTTTTTTCTCCTACCAGCCTCCCAGTCTGACGGTTCCCTCTTCAAATGGGACTAGTTCTCCTTCTCCTCAGTTTGCTCCTCAGAGGCTGACGGACCAGCCCCCTGTCTCTGTGTCCATGCAGGATGAAGCCCAGAGCAGGTAAGCACTAAGCAGCTTAACTGGCATTCTTAGGCCTGTCTCCTCAGCTCCCCTCAAACTACTGTACACTACTGTACAGCCTTACGTAACTAACTGGGGATTGTTGTCCTGTGTTGCTTTACTTACAGTAAGTAAGCCTTGTCCGAGCCAGAACGGCCCCTAATTACAGGAGCCTATCTCCTGATTCTGTAGCGTGAGTCAGCTGGATTTGAAGTCTTATTTCTTTATCGTAGTAGCAGCACATTGATAGAGGAGGCTATGGAAGATGATTTGGAATTACATGGTATGATGTGCCACTGCCACAGACCAGAATGCACTGGTTTAGAGTTTTCTTATGATCCATTTCCCAGTGATTTGATTTCAGCTGTGCAGCATTGGGGCACATACAGTATTCTTGCTACAGTAGCCAGGACATTAAGCCTGGAAACAGAAGGCTGTCATTTTATTTGGTTATATGATTGAATGACTTTATGACCTTTCAGTGGATGGCGCTGTTCCATCCCTTTAATTATCGTTGACTCAACCTGTCCACTGTCAGTCAGTAACATGGACTGTAAGCTTGTATATGGTAGATGTGACTCACTTGTGTTTCACAGAGCAACTCCTGACATAAAATCAAATTTCTGTTTCAGTAAACTGAGCTGGAAATTAGACTAAAGGTTCAACAATTTGTTTATAATATCATTGTGTAATTTTAAGTGACAGCATCTATCACAATTGTCAAGTTTTCTCATAATACATTTTATTACTGTAAGTTAACACCAGTTACGGTTGCTTCTCCACAGGCCAGAGAACAGGACGAACGCTGTGATGGAGATGAGCAGTGTAGGGAAGAAGGTCCCTGTGAAAATCGTCCACGCTGAGAGCACCACAGAGAGGCAGAGCCGCCAGTACCTGCTTCACAGTGAGAGAAATGGGGCCCCTGGAGTTTCAGAGGGGCCCGACCTTCCCCCACCCCAACCGACCAACCTGCCCTCCCCTGAGCCGCAGCCCTACTCCCTGTTCCGTGCCTACACCCCCTACACACGCCATCGGCCCCAGAGTCCCCAAAGGGACCCAACCCTCACTGTAGCCCCAGAAGAGGCCCTGTCCCCTGGGCAGTCTCAGACCAACGGCCCCTCCGGTACCTCCGCCATGGGTCCCCAGCAGCCTCAGAAGAGTAACTCGGAGGAGGATGTGAAGAGAGAGGAGCTGGCCAGAGACATCATGGACAAGGACAAGTCTCTGGTGGACATCTTGGACCAGAGTAAGATGAAGACCACTATGGACCTGATGGAGGGGATCTTCCCCCAGGGGGAGCAGATCCTGGATGGGGGGCACCAGAGGAGAAAAGTCTCCCCCAAACAGGGATTGCCACCCAGGGGCATGGATGACAGGTGAGCTGACTGGGAATGGGATCTGGCAGTCCAGAAATATAACATTCATGAACAAATTCACTGAGCATTTACTGGTAGTCATAACATAGTCTAGATAATCACACATCGTTCTGTGTATTTTTGTGTAATTACATTTTTATAAGACAATGACTTCAACTCTCCCACTTCAGAGGTGTTTGTTCAGATGAGTTAAAAAAATACATTATAGTGTTGTGTTAATATTTCTTCCCATTGAGAGGATGAGTAGAGGGAAATGTATACATGACTAAAACACATTAGTCCAATTCTAAACACCTGATCAGCCCATAGACTGTGGCGCAGTCTTTACACAGATGCCCCCTGCTGGCAATATATTAAATCACAGACTACAACTGAACACAATGGAGGAGGGGCATAAACCTTCCATTTTACCTGCGATTTTAACAGACCTCTCTGAGATCTTAGAACTGGCCCATCGATACTGAGTTATCACCTCCTGCATCTCAAATGACACCCTATTGCCTACTTTCTTCTCAATAGTATTACACTACATAGAACTTACAGTACTAATAACCAGAATTATAAACCGGGAAGTTTGGGTCCTGGATGCTGATTGGCTAAAACAGCATTCCAGACATGTGTATATCAGACAATAATGACGCAAAACTACTTTTATATTTATGTTGGTAACCGGTTTATAATAGCAATAAGGGGTTTGTGGTATATGGCCAATATACCACTGCTAAGGGCTGTATCCAGGCACTTCGCTTCGTGTTGTGCTTAAGAACAGCCCTTAGGCGTGGTACATTGGCCATATACCACACGTCCTTGGGCCTTATTGGTTAAATAACCCTCTGCTTTCTGTCTGTCTCTATCCCGTCCAGGAGAGAGGAGGAGGGCCTGTCTGCAGCCACAGGGTCCCTGGTGACCAGCTCCTCCTACTACAGTACGTCTGCCCCCAAGGCTGAGCTGCTCAACAAGATGAAGGACATGCAGGAGGACGAGCTGGAGGAGCTGGAGCAAGACTCAGAGGACGAACTGGACATCAACCTGGCCAGCAAGAAGGTACAGAAACACAGGGTACTGACCCTGTAAAACAGGTTTCTCCAACCCTGTTCCTGGAGAGCTACCCTACAGGACGGTAGCTCTCCAGGAACAAGGTTGGAGAGTTCTCAAGGTTGGTGTATGTGACAATAAAACATATTATTATTATTACTGACTGTTTCATGCCATATCAATCACTGGTCATCCTGGAGAGTCACAGGACTGCAGCTTTTCCCCAAGTTTAGTGTCATCATACCCGATTCAAATGTTCAACTGATCTTCAACACTTTGATTAGCTGAATGTGGTTCACTGCTGAGCCGAGACAAAAAACCTGCCGTTCTGCAGCTCTCCAGGACCAGGATTGAGGAATAGTGCTATCCAGTATGTGAAATGGCTCTCTTGAATGTCATCTCCTTGTCTGTCCCTCTTTCTCCCCACAGCAAGAGCTGATTGACAGCCTGAGTAAGAAGCTTCAGGTGCTGCGTGAGGCCAGGGAGAGCCTTCAGGAGGACGTCCATGATAACAACTCTCTGGGGGACGAGGTGGAGGCCACGGTGCAGAGGGTCTGCAAGCCCAACGAGCTGGACAAGTTCAGGATGTTCGTGGGAGATCTGGACAAGGTGGTCAGTTTGCTGCTGTCCCTGTCCGGCCGACTGGCCAGGGTGGAGAACGCGCTCAACAGTCTGGAGGAAGACACCACACCAGAGGAGAAGGTAGGGTCAGGGTTAGGGTGGAGGTTAGTAGTGGTATAGGTTAAGGGAGGACACCGCTATCTCCCCACGCTACTCGTGAGGCAGGATTAGATGGCTAACACTTATCCTCATTAGCTCAAAGCTATAGTAGTATTACATACCAGAGTAAAGGGATGTTTGCATTTACCAACTTACAATATTCATGTTCAACACTAATTGATGTGTGTACTGTGAGTTAATCAGGAAGTTGTTCGACTGATTCCATCATAACTGCTTGCCTGCATTTGTTAGTATCCCTCTTACTGATCTGCCCCCTCTGTCGGCCCTCCCGCTCTCAGCGCACCCTGTCAGAGAAGAGGAAGCTGTTGATCAGACAACATGAAGACGCCAAAGAGCTCAAGGAGAACCTTGACCGGCGGGAGCGCCTGGTTTACAGCATCATGGCTGCTCACCTCAGCCACGAGAGCCTGGCAGACTACCAGCACTTTGTCAAGATGAAGTCAGCCCTCATCATCGAGCAGCGCAAGCTGGAGGACAAGATCAAACTGGGAGAGGAGCAGCTGAAATGTCTGCTGGATAGTTTGTTGTTGGAGCAGAGGCTGCTGTTCTAATAATGGATAGTGCAATCTGAGATCCTTGGAACGTCCCTACCCTAAACCTTAACCTTAACCCCTACCCTAACCTTAACCCTTACCTAACCTTAACCCATACCTTTCAACTTCAATAGGTGACGTCAGAGCTGGGACGTCCCAAGGATCTCGTTTAGACTTTTCCTTCTGACAGTGGACACACAGAGGCGATGTGGTGTACTGACACAGACTGGCCACTAGAGAGCCTCAGAGAGGCGCGGGTGGACTTGATATGACGGAGGAGACTGTGTGCTGTTTGGAGTTGACTGACTTGAAGCCTGTTACATTTCAGTTCCACACTACAGACAGGAGCTGTTTTTCTGTGCTGAAGAAACACCCTGTTTCTGGATTTAAAGTAGCTCCTTAGAGGAAATTCATTAAGATCGATGAAACTTTACTTTGCTAAATGTGTTTGATTCAGGGATGTTGGTGAGGCCTCATGGTGAGGCCTGTGCTCTCAAATGATTCTCAAGATGAGGCGGCGCGTCTCTGTTTTATATATTGCGTGTTTGAAATATGTTGTTTTTAGTAATTTATTGTAGCCTTTTAAATATTTACAGATGACATTGACATTTCAGGTAAACTCACCTATAAACCTACTTTGTAGTTCATTACAATACAAATTGTATATATATTCTTATTGTGAAGTATAGGTTTTATAATTAGATCATTAACTGGGGTTTTCCTCTCTGGGACAGTGCTGGTTTGGTTCAGAAGTCTAAAGTTATTTTCATATTTGCCTAAACAGTACTTGTCTTTCATATCATCCTACACACATCACTAATAGCTACAGCACAGATGGGTATGTTTTCAACCAATCTTGTTCTCAGGCCCCACTTCCCGTACTATAGTATGGTATTCCTTGACAATGTTTATTGGTTACTGGTCTTTTTTATTCCAAAAGTATAAAAAGGTAATTAAACATTTGAAATCAGGTGTGGGCGGCAGGTAGCCTAGCGGTTAGAGAGGCCAGTTTGAATCCCGGGTCCGATGGGAAAAATCTGGCGGGAAGTGAGCTGGCAACCGGAGTGTTGCTGGTATCAAATCCTAGATGTCATTACATGCCATTGTGCCCTTGAGCAAGGCGCTTAACCCCCACAACAATAGCACCCCGGGCGCCTAGTGTGGCACCCCCCCGCACCCCCTGCAAAACCTGTATATGCATGTCTTTTGGAGGAGTTGGGTTAAAAGCGGAAGTCAAATTTTGCAATCGACCAATAGAGTGATCTTAATCTTAAAATCAAGATCAAGGACCGAATTAGCACTTTCTAGTCCCAGAATTCCCCTGTTTAGGGACCTATCTCAACCTGACGTTGTGCCTGGGCGTCTGCCACTGTGAACACTAAAGGATTTTAATGTACACTAAGTATGTGTATACTTTGTATAACCGTGCAAACATGCATTGTACTCTAACATCAATTTGAAGACAATAAACAGTATGACTGATGGTCTTGGTATTTGTGAGCTTATTACCCAACAGTGGCCATAACAACAATGACTAAGCTAAGAAATGTCAGGGTTATAAGTGTGTCCTGATGGTTAATTAGCCCTGCCTTCCCTTCCTCTTTCTGGTGAATAGCAATAAAAGAGTCAATCATTCACAGAGATGTTATGTTCACAGAGATAGTATGACTGTGACTTTATGTAGTCCAAGACGAGGAAGTGTCGGCTTTTTCTTGTTTACAGTGGTATATAAAAGGCCAATTTTCATACATGAAGATGAATGGCCGGCCCGGCACACTGCCTGCTGATCTGTAGCTCTCACCACCACAACCCTGTCAGAACTAACAGAGGTAATGTGTTGTTCGTCAGATGTCAGTTTGTATTTCGATTTATCACCACATCCTGTGTATTTGATTATCGATCTACCATGCTTTGTCATGCTTTTACGTCATACAGTTGATTTCTAAAGGCAATTTTCAGACAAGGTAAACAAATTGCTAGATTTTCATAGTGATACTTGGGTGCTCAAAGTCGACATGGGGATTAGGTTGTTTAATGACATTTGTCAAGGTTTTCTAAAAGTATAGTATATGCTTTAACCCACTGTAATATATTCAATGAATGTGTTCACATAATATTCTGGGTTACAGCATGTGTCTTTGAACTAATTTGTTCATTTTAACAACAACCTCAGTAATTACATGTAAAAAAATATATATATTATCCCACATTCGTCATACTCGTATAAAAGTTGATTCTGTGTGCTACATTATGGCAGGCAATAAATCTGCGTCATACTACAGCTTTTGAGGTAGTTCAAATGGGGACATAGAATCTATTGAAAACATCTAATTGATGTGTCCCTATCCACTGCATTTAATCCCCATTTGTAATTCCCATGTTTGTAGACTGTGTCATGGCACCAGTTGCCTCAGCCATTCAGTCGTTGTTCTCACAGTTTGTCTTTCCTCCTCAAGTATGTATTGTATTGTGTTGAGGCTCTTCACATTCACAGGTGTGTTAGCTGCCTGCTGTCACCACATTCATGTTTTTTTTCCTCTCAGAGGGAAGCAGGTGCTTTGTTTTCCAGGTATCCTAGAGACCGCAGGACCGGATCTGTGAAAAACGACGACGTATCCAAGCCTCTTCCTTAATATGAGGTGTGAGTCTGGAGCCTGAGGGTGAAAAACAGGATCATTAAGAGATGAGGGGGCTTCAGTTCGTCTGTAGGCAGACTAAGAGGACTGTCGGTGGATTATCTTGGCTATCTGTTTAAGGTGAGGCTCTCTCAGTGTTATGATATGACATACCTGGTTCACACGGCTCACCCTCAGTTCGTCAGCCTGTGGTTGAGCGCCGTGGGTTGGGTCCTTACCGCGGTGACCCTTGGACTCATCCAGTGGAGGGTCTGGCACGTGGCCGACTTAACCTTCATCACCTCAGGAGTGGCCTGGGTCGGGATCTGGAGGGTGTGTTTCAATAGCCATACACTCGTGACCTCTAAGTTCAGGGTCATGTATTGTCAGAGTATGGCGCTGTCAGACGGCTTCACGCCCCCGGAGGTCGCCACGGCCCAGGTGCTCGTTCTACTAGCGCTGATCTTGGGGTGCTGTGGGAACGCCGCCGCCGTCTACGCACTCAGGAACGTCTATTTCGGACTGGAGAAGCAGACACCTATCCGCTGTGCGTTCACAATGGCTGGTACTCTGTGCTTGTTGTCAGCCGTGTGTTCTCTCATACCTCTCCTGTGGAACTTGAACTCAGTGGTGACCAACCAAACGATTACGTTCCCTCCGAACTTCTACATGCCCCCTGCACCTGTGACCCAGTCCGCGGGGGCAGGTATCGGGGTCGGGATCATAGGGTCGTTCATGGTGATCATCAGTGGAGTCATCTTCATCTCCTACAGGTTCCCTGTCAAGATAGGACCCAGAGTGGAGCCTTCTCGTCCAGAGGCACGACACTTTGATGGGTCAAGTGTTGGGACATTGTCCCCTGGGTCTGTGGGACACAGTAGGGATAGTCTGAGTAAATCTCAGGCCAGGGACAATCCCGCCTTCCACTCTGATGAGCACTTGTGATTTTTGTTTGTTTCTGAAAACAGACATCTGAGTTGACCATATTAAATGTTGTAGTTGAAGCATTGAAGCAGAATAGTCGTTAGATGAAACTATATGGTTAGTATGAGAACCCTGTATAACGACTTAAAGGAGCAATCTGCAATTGTTACATACAATTTTTGAATTTTAAATTAATTATATTCACTAAGTATACCAAACATTAGGAACACCTTCCTAATATTGAGTTGCAGGGGGTACAGGCTAGTTGAGGTAATTTGTACATGTTGGTAGGGGTAAAGTGACTATACATAGATAATAAACAGCGAGTAGCAGCAGTGTAAAAACAAAGGGGGGGGGGGGGTCAATGTAAATAGTCCGGATTGCCATTTGATTAATTGTTCAGCAGTCTTATAGCTTGGGGGTAGAAGCTGTTAAGGAGCCTTTTGGACCTAGACTTGGCGCTCCGGTACCGCTTGCCGTGGGGTAGCAGAGAGAACAGTCTATGACTTGGGTGACTGGAGTTTTTGACAATCTAGTATATAGGTCCTGGATGGCAGGAAGCTTGGCCCCAGTGATGTATTGGGCCGTATGCACTACCCTCTGGTATCATGATGGTGAGTCCTGGCATCCATAGGTCTGTCTATGAATTTGAGGATTTCTCCAGCCCCATCCCTCAGCTGTTTACCAAAACAGTGGTGGGGTACTACTTTGTTAATTGTTTGAACTGCAGATTGCCCCTTTAAAATATGTCAGATTATATTGATCATACATTGATTCGTAACATTCCTATACCTAATGATTGTGCTATAATTTATAAGAAAAAAGCACCGTTATTTTAGTCAAGAGTATTTCAAAGTGTGTTTGTGTTGTGTTCTGTTATGTTCTTACAGCTTGTTTCCCAGTTTCCTCTACACAGGCCTGCTCCCTGTAGAGCAGTAGTAATTGGGAGGGTACACAAACACAAACACAAACACAAACACAAACACAAACAAACACACTCTCTCTCTCTCTTTTTTGAGGACGTACTTGCAACACACCTGTCTTTAGTCATTGCCTTGCAATCACTCCAAGGGGAGTTTGAAAACGGATTACATTAAATATATGTTTTACATTTCATACTTGTTTTGCTGATGCCATTGAATGTAGTTCTTTGTCAATTATGCAACATTTGCACCGTTGCTGTTTATTTGATCATATTGAAAATGTATTCTTCAACTTTTAAGGGCTCTTGACGTTCAGGTACAATATTATACACATACACAATTCAATCAGACATACTGTAGTTGTGATAAATCATGTGATTAAAAGAGACAATGTTTTAATAAATACCATTTTATTACACACTGTATTTGTTTTGATGTGGAGTAGCAACAGGAGTGTTCCTTCCGGTTTTAGACTGCACGGCAAGGACCTCAATTATCCTCTATCCCTGACTGTGCCTTGCAGTCTGCACTCTGTAGAGCTCCCCCACTGACTGGTGAACTCTGGGTAGTTACTAGCTGGATGCGTCCCAAATGGCACCCTATACCCTATATTGTGCACTACTTTTGACCAGAGACCAAACGTTGAGCACTATAAAGGGAAAAGGGTGCAATTTGGGACACAGCCACTGTCTGCCCCCCTATTAGACCACATTGTTCCCTTGTAATGAGGCTTCCGTTCGGGTCCGAAAGGAGCCGCAGGCCAAGGTGTTATCGTGTTAAAGTCAAATATTGGCTCTTGCAGAAACTGTCGTAGGCGTTTTGACAATCGCAGACCCACAAAGTCAGTACAGTCAGATCCAGTGGACCACACACTGTTGGGAGGGAACAAAATAGCTTTTTCAGTCGGGTCCAACATTTTTTTGGTCTGCAGAGGAACTCAACTCATTGAGAGGATTGCTTGTGGTCTGGCTAAAGCAGGGGTGTCAAACTCATTTTAGCTCAGGGGCTACATGGAGGAAAATGTATTCCCAAGTGGGCCGGACCAGAAAAATCATGGTATATATAACTTAAAAACAACAACTTCAGATTGTTTTCTTTGTTTTAATACGATCAACATACAACATAAAGCTGGAGCCTGAGGACAGTGTGTCCAAAATAGTACAAGCACAACATCACTATTAATCATAAAACACGTCAAGTTTATTTGAAAATTCTAAAGAAAAAGAACACACAAACACACAATGCCTCAGTGATTAACAGAACTGCTTCACAGATCACAGAACTATATCAGGGTGTCATTTCTCAGGCAGAAATGTAGATAAAAATAATGAAATCCTGTTCCCCAAACAAGTGCAAGAACCACAGAGTCAAGAATAGGTTAAATATACAAATAAAATAAAATCAATTAAAAACAATAGCACATCAACATAAAAACATATAAACATAAATCTGAAAGCGTTGCTCAAACTCCCGTAACAGTCCCGTTATTTTATCTTTGAACCGCTTCATGTCTGCCACATGTTGGGTCGCGCACACATTTTT